GTGAGAGGGGCCGGGGGGGGCAATTCGCCAGGCCTCCCCAGCCGGCTTCCCGTGTTCTGCAGCAAAGGCTCGCACAGCGCTCGCCCCCTTCCCTCGTGGTGCGCGAGGGATGATCGGGCTGCCATCACCGTCGCCCGCCCTCGGCATCGCGGTTGCCGCTTTTCCCTTCAGTTAAGGCCGCGATCTCGTGTACCCGAGATGGGGAACGTGGGCGGACAGCAACTCCTATCAGCCCTTGCCAGCATGGGCAACAGTGAAGGATGATGGGAATGTCAGGGTCTCACGTCTCTCCCAGCTTCCCTGCGATCCACACATACCTGGCTAGTGGAACCTGATAGGGGAGACACGCATCTGAATGCGTTACACAAGGATAGGTACTTCCTCCTACCTGTCCAAACCCCATATCTCTCTGTCTCATTTTTATAAATTTCCTATAGCTTGTCCTAGACATTTTTTTCTTCCTCTTTTCTTAACACACTGACCTCAGTTTCCCCCAGGAACCTGTCTGTCCAAACCTGCTGCTTTCTCCTTATCATTATTGCTATTATTCGTAATAATATTGAGAGCCACTGTGGGAATTAATGTGGTGTGGTATGTAGAGAGCTGACTGGGACACAAGGTTCTAGTCCACACTCAACCATAAAGCCCCCTGGATGACTTTGGGGCCTACTACACAAGGTTGTCATGAGGATAAAACCAAAGGAGGCCCCTCCTGAATTCATTCAAAGAAGGAGAAAAGGGGTATACATTTTGGAAGAACATTTTGGAATGCTCTCCCCATGGTTACCTTCCTGGGGGCAACCCCAATGTCCTTTCAGAACTAGGTAAAGTCTTTTTTTAAATTACTTTCCCATCCTTTTTAATCCTTTGCACACTGCTTGTAATTTTACTTATTTTTTCATGGTGCTTTAAATTTCTTCTTTTAGTGTTTTCTTCTTGATTTGGTTTATCACAATTGCAGCATTTCATAAGCCATCTTTGGAGCCTCTTCAAGAGCAAGTACAGCTCAAATTGGTCCCATCCATCAAAACATAGATTTTTAAAATAATTTATTATATTTCCTTCCACCTTTATAAAATCAACTGTGATCAAGGTAGCTAACAGCAGTAAAATCTGAACCAAGATGCAAAATCAGAGCATTAAAAGTTGGTTAAAAATGCGTCAGTCCTAATAAAGCACAGAGAGCCTTGCTTTTCCATGAGTTAAAAAAATATATTCAGGAAAATGCACAGTCGGCCCTAATTGGCCACCCTGGGATTGGAGAGCAGAAGGGAAGGCACCGTGGTCAGTTTTTCCATCAGCCAAGAAGATAACAAGAGCCCTGTCGGATTCATCTAGTCCACAGTGGCTAACCAGAAGCTCCAGGTAACCGAGAAGCAGCTTCCCGGCAACCGGTGTACCCAGGGTGGCTGGGAGACCACATCTGCTGCTTCCTAGGAAATACATCAGCCCAAGGAGGAGAGTGATCTGGTTCATTCAGAGCCAGAGAAGGAGAAGTTGTGAGATGCTTGCTTCCCCATCTCAGCCAGGGGGAAAAGCAACACCCAGCTTCTCCAGCTGACAGTTGTCCTGGGACAGGAGGAACAAGAGCAGCACTCAAGCCAGTGGAAGGGAAGATCAGAATGTTGTAGTGTCCAGTCATTGTCCATCACTTTGTTCCAGCCTTGAACAACAACCCTCTCCCCTTCCTTTTTGTTGGACTTCCCATCCTGTTCTCTTGTGGGTCTCTTGTGACTTTAGTCTCCACGTCTCATGGCAAGGCCCATCTGTCATTTTTACTGATTCAAGCCATTGTGGGAGACCATCCTTGACAGACAAGCAGTGTGGTGCAGTGGTTAAGAGCGTGGGTCTGGGGCTCGGGAGACACCGGTTCTGGTCCCCACTCAGCCTTGGAACCAAATCTGGGCCCAGTCGCAGACACTCAGCCCAACCTACCTCATGTTTGTGTGGCAGGGATAAGACTGAGAGCAAGAGGAGGAGCATGATGTAAGCCACGTTGAGTTCTTTAAAAAGAAAATGGCGGGATATAAATCTGATAAATAAATGAAATAAATATCCTTTTCTGAAAAGCTGGATGGAGATGCAAGAAAGTGATCAGTCTCCCTTCCTGAATATTGAAGACACTCCATGAATCATGACAACAGGATCCAAAAGGAAAGGATTAAACACGATTAAAGGCCATCCTCAGATATGCAGATGATGTCACTCTAATGGCAGAAAGTGAAGAGGAACTAAAGAGCCTCTTGATGTGGGTGAAGGAGGAGAGCACAAAAGTTGGCTTGAAACTCAACATTAAGAAACTAAGATCATGGCATCTGGTCCTCTCACTTCCTGGCAAATAGATGGGGAAGAAATGGAGGTAGTGACAGATTTTATTTTCCTGGGCTCCAAGATCACCGCAGATGGGGACTGCAGCCAAGAAATTAAAAGGCGCTTGCTCCTGGGGAGGAAAGCTATGGCAAATCTAGACAGCACACTAAAAAGCAGAGGCATCACCCTGCCAATAAAAATGTGTATAGTCAAGGCTATGGTTTTCCCAGTTGCAATGTATGGCTGTGAAAGCTGGACCATAAGGAAGGTTGAGCGCCGAAGGATTGAGGCCTTTGAATTGTGGTGCTGGAGGAGACTCCTGCGAGTCCCTTGGACCGCAAGGCGATCAACCCTGACTGCTCTTGAGAAGGCCAAATGCTGAAGATGAAACTCAAATACTTTGGCCACCTAATGAGAAGGAAGGACTCCCTGGAGAAGAGTCTGATGCTGGGCACAATAGATGGCAAAAGAAGAAGGGGGCGGCAGAGGATGAGGCGGCTGGATGGAGTCACTGGGGCGGTCGGCGTGAGCTTAGGTGGACTCCGGGGATGGTGGAGGACAGGAAGGCCTGGAGGAATGTTGTCCGTGGGGTCGCGATGGGTCGGGCACGACTTCGCGACTAACAACAACAACAAAGGCCATGCTTCCTATGAAGGCTTTTTCCCAAGTGAAACACATTTTTGCCAGCGGGACTTCCAGTTTCGTCCCTGAGGAGTGCAGGTTAAGCTCATGCAAGTGAAATCATGACTTTTGCTTCTCTGTGTATGTCTGCCTTCACTTTGCTTCCCTTTGTTGTGTCTGCTAGTTCCAATTTCAGTGGGGCAGCGTAGCTGAACTTTAAAGGAGCTCTTCAGAGTATTGAACTCCAGATCTATCAATGGTTGGTGGTCTCACTGATATGAGAGATTGTAGCCTCCACTGTGACTTCTTCCACTTTCTGTCAGGTCTTTGGGGTAAAGGCCTGTGTTCTCATCCTTTGGAAAGGTCCATGTATGTATTTGGCATACAATCATTACTGCTGGTTGTGGCTCTTGCTATTTTTTCTCCTTATTGCCATCCCTGACACCACCAGCAGCCATTCCAGGAGGCTGTTCAGAGTGGGATAAGAGGGAGAAGGACTGTTTTACTCCTTGTCTCCTTTTTGCCTTGTGTATTGTGTCTTTTTAGATGGGAAGCCAGTCGGTCGCAGCTGTTATTAGGCAGCCCACTTAAGGCTAGAAACCAGAATCTCTCATTTGGAGACCCAACTATCTGGGAGTCCAACTCCCCACTACCCTGGGGTCCAGGGGCACCTGCCCTGGCATCTGGCTGAGCTGTCTTATTTATTTTATTTTTATTAAGACATTTTTATGCCACCCCATTCGCCAAAGCCTCTTTTGGCCATGTTGCATCCCTTGCTGTCTCCTTCGCATCTTTCTGCCTGATGTTTTTCTTTGTGAAATCAAATGCCCTAACCCTAACCTTTTTACAAATTGGAATATCCTTGGAGACAGGCTTCTTGAAAGACATGCAGATTTTAAAGCATAGGTATATTACCATATGCAAACCTACTGAATTAATTATCAAGTTACGGCCAGGGCTTCGGCTCTTCTTAGCAGCGCCCCCTGGAGTCCAGCGAGGCTTACAGCTGCTTTATGGGTCCCGGGAAGGACGCCTACCACGTGCTGCTCTCCTGCGGGGGGTGTGGCTAACAAGGGCACGGACGGGGCATGGTTGTGCTTTAGCTCCGCCCCTCCATCGCTTTTCGCTCTTCCCTCGCCCACAAGAGAGGGGAGGTCACGTGCTCCCATTCCTTTCTGTGTGGGAGAGCCGTGCCCCCCAAACACTACGCATGCGTCTTCCATGCCCTCTTTGATCTGTAGAGCTAGAAAAGTTAGAGTGAGTCACACTTTGAACTTGTGCTCCAGTCAGAAAAGCTCATGCCAGTTTTGGACTGTAACTTCCAGCATTCCTGACCGTTGGCCAGGGTGGCTTGAGCTGCTCGGAGAAAACAGGCTTCTGCCATATTAAGTGTGTCAAGCTTGTCGATGCCACAACTTTCTGTGTTGCAATTGCTGCATCAGAGTAACATGGCTTCCCCTCTGCACATTAGAGTACTGGAGGTTCAGTACAAATGGGAGGATATTTGGAAAAGTTATATCTGATTTTAAATCAGACAGATTAGGATTAAGACCAACATACATAATTAAATCACACACACTACCAAAGAACTGGGAGTTTAAAAACAACAGCAAGAATATTGAACCGTCTGTAATGACGATGATAAAAATAATCCAAAAAGCCTGCCCAAGTAAGATTCTCCTGAATTTTTAAAAAATAGATAATCACTGTTTTAATGGAACTTTTATTGAATGAATATTCTTGTTTTCATTGTGCCTGTTCAGAATTCCATCGAATTGAGGATAACCACGCGTTTTATGACACAAACTTGCCCAACTTGGCGAATTCTGAATGTGTCAGACATCTCGCATCGTCCCCAGCCAGCTTGGCCATTGACTCCCGTCACCCCAGGCAGCAAGGCTTTATTTTGGACCATATTCCCCATCATTCTCAGACAAACATGGACATTGGCTGGGCATGATGGGCTGTGTAATCCGGCAATTAGGAAGGCACCAAATCGGAGAGGGGTTGTTTATGCATAATATTGCAAATTTAACCATTAAGGTGCCTCAAGGAGACAATGCTGCGGGGGCAGGACGGGTTTAGAAATGCAACCTCAGAAGCTCTCTATCCAGCCAAGTGGCTGGGCCACTCTTTACAAATCTCCGACCTCTCTCTATGGCCCTCCCCTCGCCTCCGGTCTGTGACGCCACGGCGCATTCTGACGGCGACCCGTACGTGGTGCGTGCGCGCGCGGGCGGCGGTGGCGACGTCGGCGCATGTGTGTTGCGGCTCGCTCGTTCCTCGGAGCTGCTCCCCGCGCTGCTGGCTGCGTCCCTCGGTTCGAGGCGGGGGAGAGAGAGGAGGAGGACGGGCTGCCGCGCTCCCGCATCGCCAAGACGGACTTCCTGTGGGACAAGCGCACCGGGCTGGCGGCCAAGAGGGTGCGGGAGCGCGCGCGGGAGGGCCCGGTGCTGAGGGGACGGGCGGAAGTGCCCCCGGGCGGGGGCGGGGCGGGGGCGGCGGCCTGGGGCGGCGTAGGGCTTTCGGGGAGGGGGCTGGAGGGCAGCACCCGCCGGGAGGGGGAGGGGGTTGGGGGGGCAGGGAGGGGCGTGCGGGGACAGGGCCTTGTGGGCAGGCCAGCCTGGGGCTTCTCGATCGTGGCAGCTCTTCAGGGGGCGAGGCGGAGGTTTCAGGACTGCCATGACTGCCAGTCTCGGCTCCGGTATTGCGAATAGCTTTGCCCCGAATATATTTACATTTTTACTGAATATATGCAGTGCTGTTTACTGGAGGGCAGTGTGCTAGGCCAGCCAGCGCCTGCCAGCTGTTTTGGGCTGCAGCCCTGCCCGTTGCAGCCAGCGTGGCCAACAGTCAGGAAAGTGTGAGTTTTAGTCAGGGCATATGGAATGCGCCGGATTACCTGGCCCTGTTTTGGAGAAAGGCCCAGGGGAACTCCCGTAGCTTCATTTCTATTTATAAAGTTTTCTTTCAACATTGCAGTATCATAATCTGCAAACCCAGTAAGGTGGGGAGAGACCTAGGCAGCTTTTTAGGGAAGGGGACTGGCTCCCTTTGCTTTAGGCGTGTTCTTAATCTTAAACGACAACACAATCACACGACAACCCCCGTTGTTAATAGCATATGATGATGTGGCCAATGTATGCAAAAGCTTAATGCCAGACTAAATTCTTTGGTCTTTAAAGAATTCAGTCTTTGATCTTCCAAACACTTCCTTGTTCTTGTTCTACCTTGGCTCACTCACTCTCTCTCTCTCTGGCAATTTTAACATTGCAATCCTAATCTATGCAACACCATTACTGTTGGGGAGAAAGATTGATTAGTGCAACTCCTGAAAGGAGACAAGCTTGCTCTTTCTTCCATTAGCATCATTAACGCTGTTATTAACAACCGGTGCTTTTACAGTTAATAGTTTACAGAAGGCAGCCATGTTAAGTCTGTGGCAGCAAATGTCTTGTGACAACCTGAAAGTTAGCCAGTTTGTTCTGGAATATATTTTTGTAGACTGTAGCCCATTTCATCAGAAGGCATGGAGAGTCTGGGGTGTATATACGGTACCAGTAGAACTTCAGTCTCGCTGTTTACAATTCCCCCCCCCTTTCTAAATGCTCCCTAAAGTTTCTGTGCAGAAGGTGAACTATAGTCTGTGGAAGCTCCTGCCACAATTGATTTGTTGGCCCTTAAGGTGCTGCATGACTCTTTGTTGTTAATGGTGCAGTTCTGATGTCTGCAGCACCCGTTGGATTGGTGAAGGGACAGTTCTCCAGGGAGAGAAACTGGCTGATTCCTTTTCATTTCTATTAGTGATGCTCTTATTAATGAGGGTAATCATACTAGCATAGTTAATTGTGTGGTTGTAATACATGCGCTGCGGTGAGCATGCATATAACATGCAGGAATGGGGGAAGTCAGTTCTCTTTTATCATTATTGTCTGTCATTGATCACAATAATTAGCAGTGTTAATAATTCCCTATCATCATCATAGGTGAAATGGGGCAAACAGTCGTTTTTCAAAGGAAAGACTAGCTTTCTGGTAATAATGTTGTTATTGATAATGGTGTGCTAGTGTGATGTACTGGTTTGCAGTGTTGCACTGAGTTCTACTCGCCCTTGTCATGAAACTCTCAGGGCGACTTTGGGCTAGTCACTTAGCCTAACTTCTCACTCATAGGATTGTTATTAAGATAAAGAAAAAATGGAGAGGCAGATTATGGGTTCCTCACAAGAGGGAAAGGGGGGTGGGTGGGAGATAAACACAGTAAATGATATTAAATGTAAATTCTGTGATCGCACTGTGAGCTGTGCGATAATGGTGCATGAAACAGGCGATAAGAGCCGCAGCTAAGGATGGCAGTGGTGCTCTTAGTGGTGTAATCATGTTCTATACTCTGTTATCATTTATTTATAACACAACACCTAATATGGGCTCGGCTGTGTGCTGCACAGAATAAAGGAAAATAAGAAAGCCTAGCATTCCCGAGTCCTCAGGCTTACCTGTTCAACATTAGAAATGAAAAGGGGACGTTCTCCCCAGGGCAGGACAGCTGCTTTCCTATTCACTGTGTTACTAAGTGAACAGGAAATTATTATTAGTTAATGAAGTGAATTAGTTATAGGAAATAATTATTGGTGTTGTAATGACAGTGTAAAAATAATAACTGGAGCACAGTCGCCAGACATGAGATTTGTGATGAAGGCAGTTTTGTGAAAGAGGCAGCAACCTTTTTATCCTGTATTATTAACGGTGTGGTTAACAGCAGCATGAAATATGCAGTGCCATTGAAGTACAAGAAGTAGGCAATGGCAGAGCTCCAGGAAGGAGGAGGACCCTGCTTTCCTAGTGTTGATAGCAATAATAAGTTGCCGATAGCAACAATAAAATTAGTAGTATTAACCATATGTGGACCAGGATCAGTGGACATGAAGTGTCCATGGTTGGTTCTTTGTGGGGAGAAGCTGGCTCTTGTGGTCCGCTTAATGCATAACGCTAAGCTGTGGTGTGGCTTGTTGAAAGCTGGCTTGTTGTATCGGAACACATCCCTACAAACACACAAACTGCAGCTTGTTAACAGGTTGGAAAGCAAAGACGGAAGATACAGTTGCTGTACAGTCTGGCTTGTTTGTCATGGTGACTTGTTTGTACCGCTGTCTGATTTGAAACACTGCAAGCTGGCAAGAGCAACCTAACATGAAACTCATCGCTCTAATGCTTGGCAGAGCGTATGGGAAGGAAAGAAACCAGAAATAAAGCCAAGTTGTGGTTTGTTTGCATGCCTGCAAGGCAATTCAAGGCAAAAGCAATCATCCATAGTTGTTATGAACAGTGGCATAGAGTTATGTGTGGAGTTTCGTGATATAAGCAATACTATAGTTTAGGCAACCAGCAACCCAAAGTTTTAACCCAGCAACAAACAGTTCCAGGTTCATGTGTCACATCAGACAAGCTAGGAGTATGTTCCTGTGTTGTTTATGCAATTAGTGCAAAGCGAAAGTGGTAAGGGGGCAGAAGGCAGTGTGTTTGCTGCATGTCACGAGACCCTGACTAATTATGGTTTGTTTAACTTGTACTTAATGAGCATGTGAACGGGGGCCACTGATGGACTCTGGCTCTCCAAGGTTTAAGGGAAGAATTTGGAGGTGTCAGGGTTTAAACCTGAAACCTTCTTTTTAATTCCTTCTACACCAGCCCGCAAATCAGCAAGGACACTTTCTATTAAACCATAGTTTCTTGGTTCAGAGGAAACAGCGTAGCAGCTTAAGTACAAGCCAGTGTTTTAGTCAGCTCCATAGTTGTGGTGGTTCCTTGTGGGGATGTCCTCACCAAAGCTCTGTTAAGAATTTAGCTCCTTTATATCCTGGCTAAACCTTTGAGACCGTGTCTACTGATTCACTCACGTGGATCCTACGGAATGGCTGATATTCCTGGTCCTTCTGCCACTGCTTAGTTCAGAAATGTTGGAGAAAGAGTGCATTCAGTGTGGAAGTGTAACAGAAGAAAATGTGTAAATTGATATACACATTCTGTGCAGCTGTTGCTCATTCGAACGGCTTTCCATATCTGCCAAAGAGCAAACTTGGATATGCATCATGCATTACAAAGACAACCTTGGCTACCTGTTCAGGTGCGTTTGTTGCCTTTGGCTCTCTCCCCCACACACCCCACTAGCAAGAGACTTATTCTCACAGTCTGTATTGTATGAATAATGCCCATGTTTCAACAGCCTCTGTGCTAGAACTGTCAGAAGGATCAGAGGAAGCAGGAAGTTTGTCTGGTGTGTTAGACAACCCTTGTAGTTGTGCATCAGGCAGAGGCCGATGCGAGGTTGGAAGCAAGCTTAGATGGTCTGCGTCAAGACAACTTTTTCTGTTTTGGAGAATCTTTGCAGCTGCTCTTTACGTGCATCTGCAGCATCTGCCAAAAGCTTTTGCAATTCAACATATGCTCATGCTCTTGCTTTCCATTAACATCCAGCTGTTACATCACTTCGTCAGGCTCAGCCACTTCAGAGAACTGCTAAGGCTGTTTTGTTTCCCTCAGAGCCAGAGCAGTGTAGCAGTTAAGAGGGCTGGGCTGAGACTTGGGAGGTCTGGGTTCGAGTCCTGTCTCAGCCGTGATGCTTGCGGGGTGGCTTTGGGCCAGTGACGGGCCCTGATCCCAACCTCCCTCACAGGTTCATTTTTGCGAGGCTAAAATGGAGAGCGGGAGAACTTTGTAAGCCTTGGGTTTCCTGCAAGAGGAAGACAGGCAGGCGTGCGTGAAAGGCAATGCGAATAACACCGATTTCTTGGTAGATGCCCCACTCCAGACGGTTTCGCTCTTCGGAACGCAGCAGCCGGGGCAGCCACCGCGAACGCTACAGAAGTCGCAAGCACAAGCGGCGGCGGAGTCGCTCGCGGTCGAGCAGCAGTGAGCGGAGGCACTGCAGGGAAGACAGCTACCATGTCCGATCGCGCAGGTGAGCTTGCTCAAGGGGAAGGGCCTCGGCAGAGGGAGGCGGCGGGGCTGCATGTAGCGCTGCTCTCGGCTCGGGTGGGGTCCGCAGGGCTTTTGCTATCTGCCCGGGGGTCCTTTGGTAGAGCATGAAGCCAGAGCTTGCTTCTGAGTTGCTCCCAAGTGATTGTCCAGGAATACCCAGGCTGTCGGGCGCCTCGCAGCCAGAGCAGGTTTTGGTGCCCGTATTCCAGTGCCGTGCAGGCGAGGCAAAGCGTGTGTGGTGGGGAACTACCCAGCTATCAACGTATTTTCGCTTAAAGCTCTTACTCCCAGTTGCTAAGCTTGAGAAGAATTTAAACTCTTTAGAATGGGAGTGGGGAAGCATGCAGAAAGCAGGAAACTGGGGGATACTGGGGAGAAAAGGGTTGCTGGCAAGGCTGTCTGGAGAACACCAAAGGGCCAGATTGAGATGCCCAGACTGAGGCCTGCTGTCCTGTTCCCATGTTTGCTCCAGCTGTATGTTTAAGTTCTGGAGGCACACTTTGGGAAAAGTACAGTAATCCTGCAGATAAGCCTTGTCTTGTGTGAAGAGAAGTTCCAGGATGGGGGTGTGGGAGCAAACTTGAAAGGGGATCCGGTGGGGTTTCAGGGGCCACACTGGCGGGAGGAGGCCGGCTTTTCGGAAGAGGGACCCGCCTTTGCACAGCTGTCACGGGCTCAGGCCTGCTACATCCGGTGCCCAAAAGAGGGTGGCCTCCGCTGGCTATGGGTGTATCCGCACTTTGCACAGAGGAAAATTACAGGCCGTGCCGAACAAGCGGATGGAGGAGGTATAGTATGTCATAGAGAGAGGAACCAGTTTCAGACTGAACTGCTCCAGCTTCGTGGCCCTGAACCCATCTGGATTCGCCACCGCCGGATGGGTGGCGGACAGAAGGGGAAGGTGGGAGAGCGAAGCAGGCACGGTGCTGCCTGGGGACCGTTGCCTCCGCCGCTGTTCCCGAGCACATTTCCCCTCAACCCTCCTCCCAGCTACGACAACCACTCATCCGACCGGCGGGCCTACGACCGGCGGTACTGCGATGGTTATCGGCGGGACGGCTACAGCCGCGAGCGGGGTGACGCTTACTACGAGGCCGAGTACCACCAGGCCTACGAGTTCCAGCACTCCCGGGACACCAGCTACCGCAGCTGCAAGAGCAGTCGGCGGAAACGACGGCGGAGGCGCCGCCGTAGCCGCTCCTTCAGCCGTTCCTCATCGGTGAGTACTTGCCGGCTCCCTGCTGCTGCTGAGCTGGGGGCATCACGACCTCCAAGAGCAGCCTGATACTTCCCGGGGGAAGGGAATGAGGCTTTTGCCGCTCTGGGGCTGCTGATGTAATCCTGAGACTAGCACCTGTGCCAGGTACGCTGACTCGCTGGTTTTTGGATAAGTCTGGGAGAGAAATCCCTGGTGGATTGGTGGTCCTGCCTCCCCTGTCCAGGGATAGTCCCAGCTTGCTCCTTTCCCTGTCTTTTGGCCAGGGTGGCTTGCGAGGTTTAGACCAGGGTGGCTAACTTCTTTCAGCTCTGGAGCCAGATCCGATTTCAAAGAAGCTCCCTGGGCCCACAGGCAAAGGGGACAAGCCCAAGAAGCTCCCAGCATGTTTTGGATTGACGCCTCTCCTCTCAGTTCCTAAGCATCAGGAAGCCTCTTTCCACCTTTTAGAGTTTTTTTTCTGCACCAAACGGCTGTTGGAGGAAAGGAATGCAGATACCTGATTCGGCACCCTGGGCCTTCAGCTCTGTACTCCTGGGGTAGAATAGCAGGAGAGCTCTTGGTCCGTTTAGTCCTGCAGGCATTCCGCCACAGAGCCGTCCTCTTGTCTCTGGGAAGCCCGCAGGCTAAACCTGAGGCATGAGCCACCTCCCACTGCAAGTGGCATTCAGAGGCTCACGGCCTCTGAATCTGGTAGAGGATGTGTAGCTGTCAGAAAGGCATCCAGAAGTCCTGCCCTCCCTGATTGTGCCTGGTCCCCCTTTTAAACCACCTCCAGTGCTTTTGGGGGGGTTGGGACAATGCATCAGATTTGGGGTACTCTCACACTTTTCTATCAATATATGCTAAAGATGCCGTTTCAGGCATTGTTTCCTTGCAGCGGCAAACCCTGTGTGTTGGATGAGCGATTTCAGCCCCTGTCAGCCATGTTGCCCCTGGCTGTGAGTTTCCCTAGTCGTGTCCTCTCCCCTCTGCTTGGCAGGGCAGGCCACGTAGCCCATGTCTCAACAGCATCAGCCCGGAAGTGATCGTGTCGGTTTGCAAACCCATCAGGAATGGCTGGCTGGCTGCTTGTGGGCATATGAAATAGGAAGCCACGTTTAGCTAGTCCGGCATCGTCTGTTTTGCCCAGCAGAGATGCCCTTGTGTCCATTTCCCAGCAACGGGGGTGCGAGATGCTCCTTCATCACACTAACCCAGTTAGCTCTGCATTGTCTGCATGAGCAAGACAATGGTCTCTCTGGTCCCTCTGGTCTTAGAAAGGGCATTTTCTGCTGCCCCGCCTGGCAAAAGCAAACCTGGGACCCTCTGCCTGCAAAACATAGGCCCTTGCTACTGAGTTACAGCCCTCCCCCTAAAAGCAAAGTAGGGTTCCAGTCCTCATGCTTAGGTATAAAGGCCTGCTTTTCAGGAAGAGTGAAAGGGACTGCCCTTATGCTGAGCCAGGTCGTTGCCTGATCTTGTCCGCAACTGCAGACCAGCGGCAACTCTTCTGGGTGTCCCCAGGAAGGTGGGGACGCGATGGGTGGAACATGGGAACTTGTGCATGTGAAGCAGGGCTGAGCTGAGACTCTAGGGAGATGCAGCACGAGGACTCGGGCATCAGCCTGCCAGGCCATGGCTAGCTGTGCTCCTCCCAAGCGAGGCTGGAACGCCTTAGCATGTAGCTCCACCCCGCGGGACTGTTAGTTCACGAGGATGCTGCCAGGTCTGCCTCTTTGCTAGACTCTTCCCTGGGATAGAGGCAGCCAGATGGTACAAGCCAGAAGTTTCCCGAACTTGTAATGGCCAACACACGGCTTTCCCTGCATTAAGCTTGGGATCACGGCCCATTTCCGCATCTGGATTCGGTTTACTGCTAGGTTCCGCAAGGGTAAGCATTTCCTGCCTGTGGAGGAGCCCCCAAACTTGTTTTCCTGTGTGAGTCCCTGTTCTGGGCTTGCCTCCTGGTTGGCAGTAGGCAGTCTTGCTCGGGAGTAGCAGCTCTTGCTGCTTCTCTGCTTGGGGAACGATCCAGAGATCCAGCCGAGGCCGATGGGATGGGGGCACATCCAGAGCAGCAGATCACACAGAGACGCAGTTGGAGGACTCGTCCGTCCCGAGACTCTTTGACGCCTTCGCTCATGAAGTGCCCATGGCAGCGTTCGTGAAATGCTGGCCTAGCCTGCCTGGAGAACCGGCGGTGGTGAGGGCGAACTGGGGAAGGCTCTCGTGAGGTGTATCCAGGAGCCTAACCCCGGGGAGCAGCTGCAGCTCTAAACTTGCCCTCAGCTGCTTTGCGCCCCAAGACACAATTAGGCTGCTTGTCCAGCCAGTCCTGCCCTGAGGGGTGGCGGCTGCCCAGTGCCCTAAGCCAGGAGAGGCCTGCCCTTCCCATCACTACTGGAGGTGCGGGGCAGAGAGCACAGGGTGGAGGCAGGCAGGCAGGCAGGCAGGCAGGCCCAGCGGGGTGGAGCTGTGATGTTGCAGCAGTTGACGGGCCCCCAGCTGGATGCTTCCCCAGCATGTACACCAGGCAGGGCCAGCCCCTTCTCTCTATCCCCCGCGCGGGTTCTTACCGGGCAGAGGGTACGTTGAAGGGAAGCACCGGTGGCATTTGCTGCCGTCTTTATCCCAGCAGAGCTCAGGGCTGAATGTCGCAGGGCCCAGGGCTCTCAGGGGAGGGGCAAAGGGCAGGCAGCTGTCCCCTCCACCGGTGCTTGGCCACACGCCCCCAGCTGCCCTGGGGAACGTGTAGCAAGAGAAGAAAAACGGGTGTGCGGCGAACACCAGCCCCGGGCCTGGCCACTCGCCCAGCCGTGCTCGTGTTGGCGCCAGGCCTGGCCACTGGAACAGGGCAGCCACCTGAGCGGGATGGTGTGAATGGGTGTCCTGCCACAGTAGGGGGTGGACCCGATGGCCTTCATGGCCCCTTCCAACCCTACTATTCTGTATCCTATGTGGACAGTTCTCACCACCTGCCGACCATCAGTCTGCCTGTTTCAGCTGAGCGCCTCCCTTCCCCCGGGTGCTCAGCTTCAGGCCATGGCAGCATAATCCGTATACTCCAAAGGGCAGGGGGATTTCGGGGTGCGAGGCCCTGGCCCTCCACTCTGCCTTGCCCTTTCGCATTACCTTGGGTGGATCTATTTACAGAAAGCTTTCTCTGTCATATTTTTCTTCTTCTCTGATAATACATTTATTTTATTTACTTTTCTTTTAAAAATAAATAAATCCTGAGCTAGTGTGTGTTATCTTGACTTTTTTTTTCCCTTGCAATATCCCTTATCGTTTTTATATACCTGTATGCACCTCTGTGCCGTATGAATTGGGCCTGGGAATCGTCCCTCCTTCCTCAAATCCGCCACGGGCCTACCATTTCCGTGGGTGACGCTTGGCTGGCCGGCTTGCCCTTCCTTCGCTGGTTTGAAAACGCCCTGGTTGGCCGGGTGAATGAATGAATGAAACACGAAAACCCTCCCCACTCCGCCTGTGTTCTGCGTTTTGGGGGCCCCCTCGCAGCGGAGTCAGCAAAGCGGCAGGAGAGCCAAGAGCGTGGAAGACGACGCTGAAGGCCACCTCATCTATCGCATCGGCGACTGGCTCCAAGAAAGATGTACAGCCAAATCGTAACATAATCTAGTCTCTAGTTAAGCTCCCATTGCAGTCACACAGTTCTTCTCTTATTTCCCCCTCCTTTCTTGTTTTTCTTTGCAATGCTTCTCTTAAAAACAAACAGCTCCCTTTCTTTTCTCTTCCTTTCCTTTCTTTAAGATTCTCCCTTCCCAACCCCTGTTATCCTTCCGTATTATTACCCCAAAGTGGCAGGGATTGTATTGGCTTTCTCAGGGGCCGGCTCTTGGAGCTGGCAAGGCAGGCTTTGTAGTGGCATGTTGTTATGTCCTCCCAAAGGAGGCTGCAAGTCCTCTCACACGTCCCCGTCTCCCCCCACCCGTCTCTCTCTCTCTCTCCATTTCTAGATGAGATCATTAGCACCCTGGGAGAAGGGACTTTTGGCCGGGTGGTGCAGTGCGTGGATCACCGCAGGTAAACGGGCGGCACAGGGAGGAGGCCGGGGCCCACAAGCAGCAGCTGCCCGAGTCTTGCACTGCTTGGAGTGTGGATATCGCTGGGCTTCTCCTCCGATCAGCCGCAGCCAAGGCCCAGGGACAGCCAGAGCCGTTAATTCGGCGGCATCTCCAGTTCCCCCAGTCCCGGCTTAAGGGACATCGGGGCAGAAGCTTTCATGCTGGGTTGCACCACGAGGCTAGATAGGTGCACTTGGGGCTCTTTAAGGTGGGCAAAAGGTGGCTGGCAAGGACGAGCCGATGAACGTGTAGCGTTGCAAGATGTGGCGCGGTGTAGGGCCAGGTGGATCGGGAGGGGCTTTCTGCCTGCGGTCAGGCCTGAGGGGCAGCCCACCCCTCCCCTGCCGGCCTGGTGGGTTTCCTTGCTGGTTGCAGGCGGAGCGGCTTTCCTCGGCGGCTAGCCCAGGTCTTCCTCCGGCAACCTGCCTGCTCCCTCTACGTGGCATTCCCTGGCGCCCAAGCAAGTTGTGAAAGCTGAAACACGGGTCAGCCGCGAAGCGGACTGGCAGGAGGGATGAGACGAAGAGTTTCTCTGCTTATGCGGCGCGTAATGAACCTGAGGGGCTTGCTGCAGCACCACCCACCCGCGCCCATGTTCCCCAGCACACGGCTGGCGCGCTCCTCCCCGAAGGCGTCTCCCCTCTTGCAGCCACCCAAGTGGGCCATCCTTGCCGCACACCATGGCAGCAAGTTCCAGCTGTAGTTCACTGTGGGAAGAAACCCGATGTCCCCAAGCTCCCACAGTGGAGGGCTGCAGGGCTGTGAGGCAGGGAGAAACGCATCTCCCTCTGCGCTTTCTCCTCCCCAGGTGTGGTTCTACACACCCCTGGCGTTGTGTCCATGCCCTGTGCAGAGAAGAAAGCAGCAAACCGGGGAGCCAGAAAGGGTGTGATTTGCAGCCGGCCGCACAATGTTTCTGTGTGGTGTTCTAGTGCGCACCACCGAGTGCCCCGGCAGTTTGATTTGGAGATCACTTTCTTCTCCCGCTTTGCTCCCCAGGGGCAACACACGTGTGGCGCTAAAAATAATCAAGAACGTGGAGAAATACAAAGAGGCAGCTCGTTTGGAGATCAATGTGCTGGAGAAAATTAACGAGAAGGACCCAGACAACCAGAAGTGAGTGCAGGGGGTGGGGCAGGGACGACACGCACCTGTGGGTGTGCGCAGGGACCCTCTGTTAAAGCGGGTCAAGAAGGGGGAGCAGGCCTCGCCTTTTGGACAGGCATCGTCCAAAAGGCCCCATCTGGCTGCTCGGTTCAGCACCGCTGGCCGCAGCTTGCATTTATTGGCACTTTGGTGTGTCGCTGCTGCAAGCCGTCTGTGGAAATCTTTGACTTGATAATACGGACTGCAGCTGCCAGTATCCCCAGTCAGAATGACCAGTGGGCAGGGCTGTTGCCGTCCAAAATGGGCAGGGCCCGGAGTGGGCAGGGCCGTTGTCAGCACCTTGGTTTCTCCAGACAGGGTGATCTTGCCATGCCTGTCTGTCATTAACCTTAATTTCCCCCTGAAAACATTCCACTGGGTCCTGTTCCCCATCCTCTTTTTAAAAATCTATGCCATCTGGACCTTAGCTTGGGACCGAGCTGCTGTTAACATTAAACGCATTCTCAGGGGAAGCAAAACCTGCCTAATTTTCTAAATACAGCACACAGGCCCCCAAGATCCTTTCCGTCACACCCGCCATAGTGGCACCGCTTTTCTCAGGCTGACCGGATCTCTCTCTCCATGTGGAATGCAAGGAGCTGGCGCATCTGCCGGACCGCTTCCCCAGGTCCGTTTCTCAGGCAACCCCGTCTCCCCCCGCTTTCTCTTCTCCAGCCTCTGTGTGCAGATGTACGATTGGTTTGACTACCACGGCCACATGTGCATTTCCTTTGAACTCCTGGGGCTCAGCACCTTCGACTTCCTGAAGGATAACAACTACCTGCCCTACCCGCTCTACCAGATCAGGCATATGGCGTACCAAGTGTGCCAAGCTGTCGAATGTGAGTGCCCAGAGCATGTGCCCGGGATGGGAAGACACGGGCAGCGCTGGGGGAACACGAGAGGGTAGCCCGGCCTTTGCTCAAAACAGCTCCTAGAGCAGAGCACAGAGATGGGTTCTTGGACAGCCCAATCCTGTAACTTACGATCTGAAAGATCCCACGTCCAAGGAAAAGGAGGAGGAGAGGAGACGAAGTAAAGCCAGGCTCCCAATCTTAAAATCGTTGGGCTTATCCTACCCACCCAGGAAGGAAGCTGTTTGAGTTCATCCTTGTCCACCACGAACAGTCAGGGCCGTGTGTAACCTGGATAAGAAATCCGCACGTGCCCACATGCGCAAAGTCGTGGTGGGCTGAAGTAGGGGAAGGATCCCCCGGCATCTGGGATTCCCGTCCCGGCTTCTGAGATTTCAGCCAGTGTTGCTCAGATGCTTTTAAGCATTTGTTTGCAGCCTTCATAAGAGCTGGGAGCTTGGGTTTTGTCAGCGGAAGCTGAGGTGCACAGGAGCAGAAATTCTGTGGGCGAGAGCCGCACCCGCAGCCTGAGCTGCATCAGAAGACAGAGCTTGCTTTGCATGTGGAGCAGTTCTCTCTCTGTTGCCGTTGAAAAAGGGCCTCTGGTCGGTGGTGCAAACTGGCAGCTTGAGACGGTCTCCCGCACCTGTTTGGGGCGTCCCTGCTTACACCATAAGTGACAAACTGACCAAAAACAAGCTTTTGGGAGTGGGCATGTCTTGGTGGATCGGGGGTCGCAATTTGCAGACCTCCAAGCATTACAGATCTCAGGAAGGGGAAGCGACTGTTTACTCTCTGGGGGCTACATTTCTTCCTGGCTCATCCGTTGCAGGCCACACACTCCAAGTAGGAGATGGCAAGGGCAAGAGCCAGAAGTTGCGGGGGGGGGGGGGTTGCCTCTTCTCTCCTTCTGCTGCCCGCGTCGTCTCCCTCACATTTTCCTTTCTCACATCGCACAACCATGCTTGCCTGTGGGCCGAAGTAATTGCAAGCACAGGGCTTGGAAATGAGTTTGGGAGCTGCGTGAAATTAAGCCAAGGGCCGGGAGTCGCCCACCTGGAAGCAGAGCTTCCTTTCTCCAAATGCTTCTTGCCTTGCCTGCAACCCATCCTAAACGGGCGAAACGTCTCTCCTTCCCTCCGTCCCCAGTTCTGCATCAAAACAAGCTCACGCACACAGACCTCAAGCCTGAAAACATCCTGTTTGTCAGCTCGGATTATGAGATGACCTACAACTTGGAAAAGGTGGGTTTGCCCGGCGGCGGCAGCCCCCTCAGCTCCCTGGGAGGGTGGTCCTGGGAGGGTGCTGGGGGGACGGCCAAGCAGGGATGGGTGACAGGAGTTCCTTGGCTGAGCTGTTAACCGCTACTTCCCCCTCCTTCCCCTCCCCCCCCCACAAGAAGCGGGACGAGCGCAGCGTCAAGAGCACGGCCGTGCGGGTGGTCGACTTCGGCAGCGCCACCTTCGACCACGAGCATCACAGCACCATCGTCTCCACGAGGCACTATCGGGCGCCGGAGGTCATTCTAGGTTGGCGTCGCAGCGCGCTGGCGCTGGTTTGGGGTCGGCTGCCCATGGGGGAGACCGTGAGCATGGTTGATGGCTGGGTTGGGGCAGGGGGCGGATTCAGAGGACCCCTTCCCAGGAGGTTACTGTGCTTTTGTGCCGATTCTTGCCTCTTTGAGGATCTTGGCTAGCGGAGTCTCTGGGCAGCTGCTGAGGCACTTCCTGTGTTGCAGAGCTTGGCTGGGCACAGCCGTGTGACGTCTGGAGCATCGGCTGCATTATCTTCGAGTACTACATGGGATTCACCTTGTTCCAGGTGAGTGCAGGGGAGGCATAGGCTACCGGTGGCATCCTTCCTGATGGTTTGGATTGCAACTCCTATAAGCCCCAGCCAATAGTCAGCAATCATGGAAGCGTTCTAAGACATTTGGGTATTCGTTGAGAACCCAACGAATACTTTGGTGGTGTGTTTTGAGTCTTTGTCCTGCTGGAAGCTCTACTGCAGGACCAGGTCACTCACAGGCTGGAGGATTGTTCTGCATTTGGCTGTGCCCCTCTAGCCCCCAGTCATGACGAGTTTCCAGTCCCTGGTGAGGAGAGGCTTCCCCACCAAAAAAAAACACGCAGGCAGCTCTCTTGGGAATGGTCCATGAGCACCGTTGCCTTTGGGTCTTGCAGTACAGCCAACGAGTTCCCTGTTGGTCTCCTCAGACCAAAGGAGCTTTCCTCCACCAAGTTTTCTGTGACTCCCGCTTGCCTTTTCGCAGCCTCCAAATGTAAGATGGCTTTGAGATGGATTTGCTCCAGCTGCGCCTTTCTTCTCACTACTCTTCTGAAAAACTCAGCTTTGTGGAACGTTCTGGCGATCGTTGTCCCATGGACAACTCCCATCTCTGCCGTGGATTTCCCTGCCTCCATCAGAGTTGGCACTGGCCTCTCTTCTCTTCTCTTCTCTTCTCTTCTCTTCTCTTCTCTTCTCTTCTCTTCTCTTTATTTATATCCTGCCTTTTTCCTACAAAGGGCTCAAGGCAGCTTACATCTCCTCCTCCATCTTATCCCCACAACAACAACCCTGTGAAGTAGGTTGGGCTGAGAGTCTGTGACTGGCCCAAAGTCACCCAGTTGGCTCCATGGCTGAGCGGGGACTTGAACCCGGATCGCCTGAGTCCCAGTCCCATGCTCTTAACCACTGCGCCACACTGGCTCTCTAATTCCCTCTGTCACCAAGTTTTGGTGGACGCCTTCCCTAAGCAGAGTCGCAGCGCAGCCAAATTCTTTCCATTTTGTAGTAATGGATTTAACGGCACTCATAGTTGGGGACATTTTTAATCACCAGCCTCGATTGGAGCTTCTGCCCCACTTTATCCAGGATTGTTTTGATAGCTTCTTGGTCTTCGTGATGCTGTTTGTTCAGATGCTCTCAGCAAACTTGACCTTCCAGGGAAAGGTGCATTGAATCTGTGATCAGGTGGACCTGAAATTGCACGTGGGTAGATCCCATGCAACCATTTTGTGGCTTCTGGAGGCCCCTGAACTTATTTAGCCATGCCGCAGCAAAGGGGGTGAATACTTTTTGTTTGACTGTTTGTTTTGTTTTCTGCCTCCATAAAAATACTCTGTGCCTTCACAGCCAGGATCACCTTGTGTAGGCCACGTGGCAAAAAGGCAGATTAAAACCTTTTCACTGCCAGGTTGCAGCACAAGGACAAGTGGAAAAGTTGCGGTTGCAGGAGCAAATACTTCTGTGAGGGGGTGTATAATCCCCTTGCGGAACTGTTTGGGTGCATTAGAATATCCAAGGAGGCAATATTTCCGGGATACAGTGAGGTTCTGAGGCCATGGAGGAGAGGGAACGGTAGCAAAGTTGGCCGAGGAGCAGGACAGGCAAAACGGCCCAGTAAAGAGAGGCTTACAGTGGGGCCAGGAGGAAGCACGGAGCTGGACTGTGGGAATAAGCGAGTGCTGCAGGTCTTCGTTAGAGGGGCCCCAATTCTATCAGTGATTCAGGGAGAGCGTCCATAACTGCCTGGGGGTTGCCAGAGCCCTGAGCTGGACCTTGGGAGTCCTGGTTTCTAGTCTGCATGTGGCCACTGGGTGCCCAGTCACAGGGGCCCAGGCTAGCCTACCTCACATGGTCGTTCAGGGGATAAAAAGAAGAGGAGAGTTGCATGTGCCATTTTGTGCTATTTGTAAGAGGGAAAAGGAGGGATATAATTGTGGTGGCAGAGATACGAAGCACTGGCAGGCCAAGGTGGGGTTGTGGGTCCATCAGCCCTCCAGAAGTTGCTGGACTACAACTCCTATTATTTCTGTTTACCGGGGGGGGGGGGGATAGAATCCCAGTAATCCCACAGTCCCACAGTTTTCGTGGCTGTAGAATCCCACAGTTTTCGTGGCTGTGGGTTACGATGTAAGTAGCCCCCTGGCCAGTTTTGGCTAGCTGCCTAGAGTGCCTGCTGGTCCTGCAAACAGATGTGGGAGCAAAAAGGCTCAGGTCTGATCCTGCTCGGCACCTGCCGTGTCCTTGAGGGGAGAAGATTGTCTCACGATAGCTGGACCCCGTAACTCTGAAGAGACCCTGAACTTGCCACTTTTGCTATCTAGTAATAAAGGATTTCTAGTTGACCGTCTTTAAGGGGTGGAGGGTCTGTGATCTCCAGCCCTTCCTCCCTTGCTTCTCCCGCAACATGTTGCAAACCTCAGCATGCTTTTCTTCCAGACCCATGATAACAGAGAGCACCTGGCGATGATGGAGCGCATCTTGGGTCCCATCCCATCACGTATGATCAGGAAGACCAGGTGGGCTGTTTTCCAGTGGTGGGGGAGGGCTGTTTCTGGGGTGGGCGGGCACAGCTGGAAGCCCTCGCGAAGCCCACTAGGCGTCCTTCCATTCTGGGTCAGAAGGAGAACCGAGAATGCCCACAGAATGTATTTAGGACTACAAGGCATGGTTTGGACTGCAGTTCCCATCACCCCTGTGCTCCCAAGGTCGCTTGTTGGAGAAGCCTGTCGTAACATAAGGATTTATCTTCTAAACATCCACCTCTTATGTTTCCTGAGCACACACGCATGTGTTTCATGGCTTTAAAAAAAAAAAAATAAAACAACCCTCTTACACCTCTGAGCTTGTTGCGTCTTGTTCTTCACAGGAAGCAGAAATATTTCTACCACGGCCGCTTGGACTGGGACGAGAACACCTCTGCCGGGCGCTACGTTCGGGAGAACTGCAAACCGCTACGGGTAAGGCAGGCCCAGACTGCTGCTTAGGGGAGCAAGTCACTCAGAGCTCAGAGCCGGGCAGCTGGGCTTTGCCTTCAGGAGCAGAGCGTAGAAGGAAAGGGCCGCTTTGGCATGCGAAGCAGGATTGGGCCCCTGCTTCTCCAGTCTCACGTTCTCTACTGCCAGCGCTTCTCCGGGGCCTTGGCCAGGGACCTTTCCCAGCATTTTTTTTTTAAACCTGGAGCTTCTTGGGACGGGATGATGGAGTCTTCCCCAGATGGAAAGTACTATGAAGCCTTTGACAGAAAGGGGTTTTTCCTAGTCTGGTTAGCAGAGATTTCAACTGGAGAAGCCGCGGAGTGAACCTGGCCCCTCCTGCATGCCTAGCGGCTGTGTGGCTCCTTGGGGTGGGTGGCCGGAGTCCTTCCCCCGGCGGGTGACTCGTGCCCTCTGGTGGCCCGCTTCTGTCTGCAGAGGTACCTGGCCTCCGAGGCGGAGGAGCACCACCAGCTCTTTGACCTCATCGAGTGCATGCTGGAGTACGAGCCGGCCAAGCGGCTCACCTTAGCCGAGGCCCTGAAGCACCCCTTCTTCGACTGCCTGAAGCCACAGCATGGCCCCAAGGCCTGGGACTCCAGCCGAGACATCAGCCGGTGACCGGCGGCACCCCTCGCCTCTCTTCCGTCGGCCCCCCTCCAGTCTTCCCGCACACCTGGCCCCCGTGGAGGCTCGTGCGGCTTATTATGATCGTGCATTTTGGTGCTTTTAAACAAATAATTACAATACAGAAGAAATCCTGATCCAAGCTGCCCACGCCCAAGTTTCTATTTTGTTTGGTCGGTTATCATGTATAGCTTGTTAATATGTGAAATAGTGTATATATAACACATGGGAAATCCTGTGGCATTCCCCAGCCCAGCCCAGCCTGTAAATAACTTGACTTTCTTGGGATTTATGCCCTTATTCCTACCTGCCCTGCAGCCGTCAGTTTCTGCTGTATATACTCCTCCCCCCCTTGCCCTCCTTTGCAGTGCACCCCGTTCCCCATTCCTGCCCCTGTGTAAGTTATAAGGCCAGAGGGATCCCTGTTGGGGAATTATTTTTGGATAATTACCATAGCCCATTCCAATGCCAGAGTTTTATATGAATTTTGTACAGTCATTGTGGAAGAATAAAATATGACGTGAATTAATGCCGAGCTTTGCGGTGTGGCTCCTTTCTCCTCTTCCGCCCTGCAAATCCTGGCCGTTTTAATGGACATGGGATGTCTAATGCTCTTCTGCCCCGAGGGGATTACAGTCTGCATTTCGGTTGTGTGTGTGTGGGGAGGAAATACAGGTTAAGTGCTGCATGCCCTCTGGCTTTGTCTCAATCAGTGGGGCAGAGTGACTAGGCCAAAAATCCCTAATCCTTGTGCTGCAGCTACAAACAAGGAAAGGAGAGAAACCAGAGCACCACGCATCCCTGTGTAACTCTGCTGTGTGTTGTCTTTCTCCCCAGGTGTTCTCCAGGATGGAGCCAGCTTTGCTGTGTTGGGTACATTTCAATCGCTCCCGATGCAAACACGCAGAAACATGGCTTGCCTTTGCAGGAGGCGGCTTGCTGTGGGGGTTTTTTAATGAGACGCTGCTCTGGGTTTTCCTCCTTCCAGTTGTGATGCCTGTTAAAGCTAGGCCAGCCCCCCCCCCTGCCCCCATTGGAAGAAGGAAAATGCAGAGTAGTGATTTACCCAGTGGGCAAGCTCCTTCTGGGGGCAGGAATCCCCCACCCCAAATTGGGCTGACCCAATTACAGACAGAAAGGCACAAAGAGATTCCTTTAATCTGTTTTCAGTTAAGTTCTCTAATTTATTTTTTTTTTCCTGAAAATGGGCCATGCTCCTAAATTTGGGATACATTGGGCAGGACCTCAGGTTTCCTGGTCTGATTAGAGGCTCTTTAAAAAAAACCTGCAATCTTTTAAAGAGTTAATGTTGCTACCTTGGTTTTTTGTGTACCTTTTTCAATGCCATTTTGCATTTCTGTTTGATCTGGAGTGAATAGCTCTGTGAATCTGAAAACCCTCAAGGACTTTTGTTCACAAGACAGTAGGGGAGGGAAGGAGCCAGCACTGGTAGAGAGTCTGAGGAAGATTTTAAATTCTTAGGTGTCAACAAGAAGTGTTGACATCCTGGAAGCTGGAGTTCTTTCAGCTTTGCAAGGCAGCAAATGAGCAAAACGACTCAGTACCAAGAGCAGCACCAGGTCCTTCATTAGAAATGTCAGCAGGGCTCACCCATAAGAGAGCAGTAGAAGGAAAACCTCCTGCCCTTAATCTCTCTTCAGATTTGTTCCAGAGGACTATCGTGTTAATCTGCTTGAAAAAAACAATGTTTCTCTCACCTTAAACGGGATAGACAGACTGCGGCAGATGGATTTTGCGCTTTGTGTCCGGTTTGTGAGACGTGATCCCCAGATAGCAAAGAGGGAGAGCGACCCTGCAGAGAAACAAATGCTGAATGGGGAGGGAAGCGGCAAAATGCGAGAGCTGTAACAGCAGCTATTGCCAGTTTTTGCACTGACCATGTCACCCATAGCGGGACAGAAGAACCCCGATCTTGACTGAGCCCTGGACCAGCCTTGCATCTATTTGCGTAGAAACCTCGCGTAGATCCAAACTCACATACCCTCATTCAGCCATTTCACAACGAAGCCTCCCTCTTGGAAATCCCTTGGATGTACATGTCTTCCAGGTTCAGGGATGCCACTCTTTTCTAAATTAATGTTCATAAATGGTTGGTGTTCAGTTGGGGTGAATTGATTCCTCCTGCATAAAGATTGGTTGGTTTGTCCTGTAGTGGCTGCAGAAAGGCATTGCTGTTGAGAGCACGTGAGGCAGGTACGTAATGATGGGAGCCGTGCCCTGAGGTTGCTAAAACTGCTTGAATTAATATTGGGCTTGGACAACTTTGTACATAGCAGTAAGTGAGAATTCTTCAGAAGGGCATTAATCATGCATTATTCTTATTTTGTAATTAATAGATGAAAAGAGCAAAGCAGACAGACAGACGGACAGACCGAAACCTTACACAAAAATTACATATAGTGCTAAGGGTGAGAAATTACACAAAAAGTCAATTTTTATGTCTATCAATTTTATAACTGCAATTTTGACTTAATAATACCTGGTTATTAAAAAAAGGCTTTAACATGGGTATCAAATAATAATCCACCTTATAACATATTCACAAACCCACCAGCAATACTTGATTTTTTTCCTTTTTTCCCACATAGAAGAGTATTATAATAAAAATGTTAGATTCATAAAGCAATTATATTAATTTGATCACTGTATATATTGTATTTAATAGTAACACTCTCAATTGCTAATTATAATAGGCTTCCAATTTAACATAAAATTATTTAATTGCTATATATATCTGATTAGTAAATGTGTCAGCTAAGTCACCCTTACATAAATTCTATTTTTCTCTATTAAGTAAAGTACTATAGTGAGCTTTCCATTTATCACTAAACTCTTTGACTGGTCTTCTATTTATATAGCTGGTTAATTTTGCCATTACTCTGTATTCCATTAATTTATTTTTCTAATTTTCACTAGTTGGGCACTAGTTGCTTTCTATTTTATTGCAATTATAACTCTAGTTGCTATATCGTACATTTAAATTATTCTTCCATATTTCTTGGAAGAGTTTCTGGCACAATAATAGAATCATGTATTATTATCATTACATTGCATTTATATCCTGTCCTCCTTCCTCTCACAAGGCATCCAAGGTGACTAAATAGGTTCTCTGTGCCATTTTTATCCTCCCAACAACAGCCCTGTGAGGTAGGTTAGGGTAAGAGTGAGTGACTGGCCCAAAATTACCCACTGAACTTCATAAATGAGAATGAGAACCTGGATTCCCATTCCAATACTCAAAAATGCAATACTGAAAACAGTATCAAGCCACACTGGCTTTTACGTTTTAAGAAAATTCTGGATTTTTCTTTTATTGGATGCATGCCACTCTAAGGTGCATAGAGCGGTACACCTATACGATGTGACTCGCCCAATCTTACCTTCTGACCAACCCTGGAAGGCCAAAAAAGAGCCACTTGGCCCAGGTCACATTCTGAGTGTTTTTAGCTGAGTGTGGTTCGAATACAAATGTCCCCAGAACATTTTAAAAAATCTGCTTGATCCCATTTTTAATCTATCTCGTTTAGCAAGAAGGGAACAGAGAATACAATGGAAAGCAAAGACTCCTCAAGGTTTTCTGTGACGACAAAGAGGACTGGGAACTTGAGTTTTCGTTGCTTTTTATTGAAAGCAGCACCTTGGCATTCTGCACCACCTGGCAGTTTTGGCCCTTGCCCTCGTGTGGGCGGTCATCAGCAGCTACTGCGTATCTGTACGCAGAAAGAGGAGGGCTGAAGTGCATTGTGCTGCCCCACCAACCCACATCCCCACAAGTTACTCATCCCCTTTCCTCCACCACCACCTTCGTCTCACTAAGAAGCTTAAGACGCAAGCTTGGATACCACCTGCTGCTGTTTGTCCTTGGCCCCCAAATCCCCAAGCTCCGCATCTAATGCCCCGGTGTGTCAGTCTGTTCCAAAGGGCAGCCGCTGAGTGATTTCTTTAGGCAGGAAAGCCCACGTGAACGGTCCAACTCGAGCAAGCCAGGTTTGGGGGTACCCAGTGGGCACGTGGCAGCAGAGGAACCCTTTGGGGGCCCCAAGGTGGTTGGCAATGCAGCCTTGGGCCCTTTTCCTCCATCCTCCAGCTTGATCACGGCACGTGGCCTTCGGGGCACCTATGTGCTAATCCTCCCAGTTGATCAGAAGGCTCCGATTCTGGGGTGTCTGTCTCAGGGTTGGGAATTGAAGAGTCCTGAATCAGACCAAGCATTCTGTTCACACAGAGGTCAAGTGAGGAAACCCACCAGCAAAAACGAATATCCTAAATGATTTGGGGCATGCAGCTTCCTAAAAGGCAAGCTATGGTGGGGAAAACATGAAATGCAGAAAATATCTGAGAATATAGGGGTGGGGTTAGACCCCGATATGTTCTGCATACATTCTTTTGATACATCTTTTGAATATTTTTCTGTATGCCTTCCATTAACTTCCCACAGAATTGAGCTGATGTCACTCTTAAGTATTCCCTTCTTAGAAATATCCTTAGAAGGGCGATTTTGCCATCTGTCATTAGCACCGCTAATCTGATTGGCACTTGTGTGTGTGTGTGTTACACACCTGTGAAGACTGTCATTGGTAACCACTTAATTCTCCCTTCTACCATCTCTGATCCCCATTTTAGCGATGGCTTGCATTCTTTTGGAACAAGCCATGAGGACTACAAACATGCTATTTTCAAAAGAAGCTCATTCTGATGACTCCCAGGAAATCGCTGATGGATGCTTCGGGACGGGAGCGGTTTGTCTCGGGCGGGTGGCACGTGCCGAGCATTCTTCCTGTCAGGCGTGTGCTGCTTTCCTCACGGTGCCATCTGGTTGCTGCGGATGGCTGGCCTCACTCTTCCTCAGGTGGATTAGGGAAAGCCCGGCGTCACCCAGATTCTCTTGCATTGCTCCTGATCCCATTTTAAAGAGCTTGAGCTGGCCAAGTGTTCTAACCATCCTTCGGAGACATCCAAAGCGAGACGACCCTTGGAGGAGAGAGACTGGAATCTCGGAGGTTCTCACAGGTGAGCCTGGGGGACGTGCAGCATCCAGGTGGGAAGTGTCTCAACCCAGGGCCAGCAGAAGCAAGCATCGCATCGCTTGCTTTCTGCCTGCCTTGGCTTGTGTCCTTCACAGGAGGCAGTGTGGCGTAGCAGTTTGAGTGTTGCACTGGGAGATCTGTATCCCAGTTGCTGCTGGGCCATGAACCCTAAAGCAAGCCACTTGCTGATTCTCAGGCTAACCACAAAGTTGTGAGGTAGATGCTTTTTATATATGTATAATTTCAGAATTTCTTCCTCTTGTTCCTCCTCCTCTCCCACTTCTATATGGGATTTATCTGGTCTACAGACCCCCAGTATATCTTGAAACAAAAACCAGAAAAGCTCATGAGGTTGATTCTTGATCTTTAACCTAACTTGCTTGCTACACCAGCAAAAACTGCAATGTTTTGCCTGTCTTCCAGGCAATTTTCCCCACGTCACAATCGCCTTTCTGTAGATAATCTTGGGATATCGGAAGTTAGTTAACAGCTGATAAAAATTCTTGATGCTCCTTGTCGTTAAGACTGCATTTCAAATTCTGAATTATTGGCTCCCCACTCCCCCCCCCCCACACACACTCTGATTGGGGTTGGTCTGATTGAGAAAGTCTATTAAATTGTCCCAGTAAATTGTACTGATTCGTTCTTCACAAGAAATCACAAAATCTTACAATTGGGTTTCACCCAGTGTGGTTTTCTGCCTTCTCCATGGCACCAGAAATAAGCTATGTTGAAGAGGACAGTGAAGGACATAGAAAACTTTTGCAGATGGCCCAAACTTGCTTTGTTCCCATAATCCCCCTGTTGGTTTTATAGAGGAAAGTTGGACACTTGCTTAAATTCAGGAACAGCTCGGATCTTCCCCAGGCTCCTGGGAAAAGTAGGTGTTTCATCCTTCACAGGACAGCCAGATGTTACCTGTGGATCTAGAACAGGAGTGCTGAACTTCAGCCCACTGGTCCAAATTCGGCTTGCGCAGTCCCCAGTTGGCCAGCAGCCACCGAATCTTTGTTCGTTTCCCAGCAGTTTTTCCCCACTGTAAGAGGCTGATGCGACCGTCCTGAGATGCGGCTGCAACAGGAGAAATTTCAGCTAAAGCTGCTGGTGTATTTTGCCATTCTTTTGCTTCCCAACCTGCTCGAAACCTGGATGTGCCCCCCGCCTCACTGCGGCGGATTTTCAACACGGAAATCAGCCCTTGGGCAGAAAGAGGGTTGAATCCCCCACTCCAGGGCTTGGGGGCAGATGGGGAGGATGTCGGACTGGCGGTAAAGTCTGATTCCTTTCCCAGCGCAAGGGCCCACCTTGCTCCCGGCAGACAAGATACGGCAGCACTGACTTTCAAACCCCATCGTTGGGCATTAGGTTCACCTCGGGAAAGAAGAGACGCTTGATTTGGTCATCATGGCTTTCCCCTGTCGGTCCACCTGTCCTGCACCACCGGATCTAATCACCGAGTGCCCCATCTTGTGGCCGTGAAGTGTGTGTGACTCATTATCTGCTTGCACAGTATTTGCATGCTGCTGCAGACACACGCACACAACCCTCTACGAAAGGACAGCATGGAAATAGTTGTAATGGGTTATAATCACTCGGTTTTTCCTAAAGCATACCGTAGCCGTTTTTCCTCTCTCCTCCTTTTCCAGCCCCCTTCCAGATGGGATCCACGGTGAAACCGCGCTTTGGAGGCCCAGGTAGGCAGCTGTTGTGTTGCGTCTCAGCAGACTTCCCTAAGGAACAGGATTCCGGTGCCCCGAGGTGCCTCCACCGAGGCAAAGCCCCAGAGCAAGCCCAGAAACAGAGGTAAGAGCCCCTCCGTTGCTTTTGTGTTAGAAGATTGTGAAATCCAGAACTCTCTTCCGCATTACTGCCAAGACACCTTTCAAAGAAGTGGCTGCCCTCTCCGTGCCTTATTTTATAACTTGTGCACCTAAGAAATACAATATGTGAATCAGCCTTTAGCTGATGAAGCCCTATTCAGCATCTAACTTCTGGAAAGCAAGTTCCTGGTCCTTAAGGTCCACGTGTTGCTGGCATAAACTGACATACACTCTCAAAGGGCATCTGTGTCTGCTACAGAAAAGAGAATGATTACAGTCTTGTAGCCTCTTTATCCTCCATCAGGACTAGAAAATTGCTTTTAAGAACTGGAGGCCAAGATTTTTCAGGATGTTGGGTTTTCACTCTGCGTTGCTTCTGTGCTTGCACAGAACTGTGGGGCACACACTGATGAAGTCTAATGCAACCCCAGAGATTAGAGCTGCTTGTCCAAACTTCCGGCCTGAAAGAGAACCTTCCGAAGAGATCCCATCTTTTCCACCAGCTTCTCTTTCCCGTGCTGCATGGGTGGTGTTGTTTTTTCCCTGATGGTGTTTTGCCTTTGTGCCCTCAGGAGCAAGCGGGATGCAGCGTTTGCTCAGCGGAAGGCCGAGCGAGCTTCCATGAGGGCACAGCTGCGGGAGAAATACCAGCTGCCCAAGGTCAGAGCTGCCGCTGCCCGAGACCCTGTGGTGTCCATTTCGGCCTCCACGTGGGGCCATCCCTTAGTGTGTCCTTGCCTTTGGAGGTTAGGGAGGGGCCCCTATCACTCCCCCGACAAATTAGACAGGGCTCCATCACGGCAGCCTTTTAGGCACCAGAAGGCGTCTATCCTTTTGCCCTCCGTTCTGCTCTCTTTCACCCCTGCTTCGACTGGCGACCTGCCATGCACGGCGTCTTGCACACGTCAGGTCGGGGACCAGGACTGAAGCCCGAGGAGGTGATCTTCCATTCGGTTCTAACCCTTTACCTGCTAGCTCCACCCCAGCGCCTCTCAGGCCCTCCTCCAAGCCGGCGGGCTCCACTTCTCTGTTCGGCAGCTCCCCTCCATTCCCAGGCTCCCCCCACTAAGTGGCACGGGCTGAGGCACTGGCGCTTGGCGTGGCACTGAAACCTCGGCCCAAAGGTAGCACGTTCTGGGGCCCGGTGTGGCCCCGAGCTTGCTCAGGCCGCATCCTTTCCCTGGCCCTGGCCGTTCCCCCACAGTCATCCGTCTTTTGCTGGCTGCCCAGCTTTTTTGAATCTTTCCCCATTAAAAAAAGGGCCGGGACTCCTCTAGGACTTTGCTAATGGCATTAAGCGTTCTAAGTTACCGCAGGCTGGGTTTTTTGCATCATGGCCCCGCTCTCTTTACCTTCTGCCCCTCCCACTGCTGGAATGCAGCCCCCCCAGGAATGGAATTAGGCCACGGGTGGAAGAGGTCGGACACCTTTGGCTTAAGCGGGCCTTGGAGTCCGGGGGGGAAGGGCGGAGAGGCCTCACCCCTGAGAGAGTCTCCCAGGCATCGCTTGCTGCAGCCAGCCCTCCTTTCCCAGTCCTCACCCTGCCCGGTTTTGCCTCCCAGAATCCGATCGACAAGAAGCAGCTGGAAGTGGCTGGGGCGAAGACGAAGCTCCCTCCGGACCTGCTGGCGATCATGAAGCCCAAGGCCGCCTCCGAACCCGGCTCCATCTTCCCGAGCTTCAGCGGCTTGGACCTCAGCGCCTGGCGTACCACCGCTGAAAGCGCTGTGCGGTCCCTGCCGCGCCCGGTGCAGTGCCCCGTCATGTGAGCCTCCCCAGGTGCGCCGCGCTGGCAAACCTGACTCTGACAGGGGCAGGAAAACCCCTCCGGGTGGAGGGGTGCCGCTGTGGAGGGCCGAACATCCCCCATTACCCCGTGGGCTTGAAACGGGCCAAGCGGTCCTTGGAATTCTTTAAGGGCTGTGCCAGTTTCCCCTCTCCTCCGGCCTGTGGGGGCTTAGGAGGCATTGGCACTTGTGGGCCTTGGGCAAAGGCTATGCTCTTCATCCCGCTTGCACTGGGAGCTCATCCACTGCGTGCCACCATCTTGACCATTTGTGGTCTTTATTTAAAGTGTTTTTTATTCTACTGCTAAGACCTTTCGAAAAACTAGAGCACACAGATGGCGTATGTCAATGGGCGAACCCTTCATCTAGGCTTCACAACCTAAAACAGACGCAGCACAGAAGGAAAGAGGGATGAGGAGGGCAGAGGAAAAATGCAGCAGACTGTCAGCCGTGGAACGGCCTTGCTCCTCTTGACATCTTCTATGGGGCCAGCCCCACTGGCCCAGGTCCCATGTTCCTTTTGCCTGCACTGGCCTCCCCCTTCCTTTCCCACAGGCCAATTGCTGTCAGTTACCCCTCATCTAGCATCCCCCACCAGTGTCGGCTTCTTCAAGATCGCTCATCAAAAAGTCCATTGGAAGCGAAACACACTGATTCCCGCTCTGGACAAGGAGCCGCTCTTCTGAAGTGGGCACAACACTTGCAAGCCAGGTGCCGTCATCATTCCCAGTGATGGAACTCCTGGTCACTGCAAGCAAAGTTCTTTTATTTCGGTGCCTGACATCTCCAGTCGTCACGGCTGCGAAAGAGCGATATGTGGGGCTCAGCAGCGCTGCCATCCGCCAGGCCAGACAAGGGCTCAAAGAGGCGATTCAGCGTACGGCACTCACTCTCCTGTTGCCTTTGGGGCTTGGAGCAGGGAAACACCGGAAGTCTGAGCTCTGCAGGTGCAGGGCATTGTTCCAATAAAAAGCTGTAGCTGTCTTGCGTTGTTGTCTTTCCTGATGCTTTCGACTGGGGTACTGACCTCCCTCGGTGGTTCATCTATCCTCCGGCACCCTCCTGCACAGGGAGAGGGGGAGAAAAGTCGGCAGTACAAAGAAGAGGACGATGTCATGCTGACAAGCAGCTCGTGACAGATGGCTCAGTTTACTCGCTTATGTCACTGGAAGATGTTTTGAAAGGGAGAGGTTAACTTGGCACCCTGTCCCAAGCCAAGTTGGGAGATTATAATAATCCTGATCTGAAACAGAGGTTGGATTCTACAAGTTCTGAATCTTGGGAGAAGGTGGAAAAAGGGGAAATATACAGATCTAGTGGATAGTCAGTTTTGGAACAAACAGTAACCTTTGAGAACCAAAAAACAAAATCAAAGAGCAACGTGACAAGGTATAATTAATATTTGCAGTGCTTCAAAGAGTAGTGTTTTCCATTTTTGCTGCATTTTGAAATGGACAAGCAGTGCTAATTAGTCAGTGTGGTGTGGTGGTTGGACTGGGACTCAGGAGGCCTGGGTTCTAGTCCCCCTTTTGCCCTGAAGCTCCCTGGGTGACTTAGGCCAGTGGCTGACTCTCAGCCGAGCCTACCTTACAGGGTTGTTGTGAGGGCAGAATGCAAGCCAGAACGTGCAGCACGACTCGGGCACAGCCTCGATGACTTCAAACACTTCTTCTGAGCAAGGTGCTGCCTCCAGCCTTCCCCAACCTGGTGCCCTCCATGGGTCCTTTTTTTCCTTTCTGGATGGGATGGGAATGATTCTCATCATCCCTGGCCATTGTAGTCAAGGAACCAGGGAACATCTGCGACTTTCTTCTTTCTGCCTCTTCCATCCATCCATCCATCATCATCTTTATGTATTAGATTGATTGCCTGCTTTTTTTCTTGCGCAAAACTCAAAGCAGTTTACATCATCCTCCCATTCTCAGTCTTATCCCCACAACAACCCTTTGAGGTAGGTTGGGCTGAGAGTCTGTGACTGGCCCAAAGTCACCCAGTGAGCTCCAAGGTATGTGGGACTAGATCTTCTGAGCCCCCGTCCCATGATTATGAATATATTTGCATTTTATTAATTTCACCAAAACAAAAACTCCATTAAAGCAAAATTGACACAAGGTAGCCTCTGTATATATGTGTACGTATATGCACAGAGATAGAGAGGAAGAAAGACACACAGAATTATTTATTGCATTTCTACGCAATATACACGAGGACCCTTTTAAGATTCCCGGCGGCGGCGCCTGCAGCCACAAGACCGTCCCGACCGCTCTACGCCGCGCAGCACGTTCTGCGTTCCCCAAGCAAGCGCTTCCGGGCCCAGCCGGAGAGAACTGCAGTTCCCATCAGCCCTCGCGGGCCGCTCCCCCGGCTCCGCCCATGCTCGACCCTGTCACGTGCGCGGGAATCCCCTCCCCGCTCGCGAGTGACGCGCGTCCTCCCGGCAGCCAATGGGCGCGGAGGGGCTCCGCGGCAGGCGAGGCCGGCAGACGCAGCGAGCGCTCGCGGGGAGAGGTGGGGCGCGCGAGCAGGCATGGCCCTGAACACCGGGGGAAACCCCTTCGAGGAGGACCCGGGGAATCCCTTCCAGGTACGTCGCGGGGGCTCCCCGCCCCCGGGGCACCTTCCTCCCGTCCGTCCGTCCTTCCCTCCCGGGGCAAATGGCGCGGGCGGGGTGCTGCCCTTACTCTGCTCCGCGCTCCGAAGCGAGGCAGCCGGCCAGCTGGTCCCGTGCCTGTTGAGCCAACCCCTGGCTCGCGGGGGGGCGGGCCGAGGCAGGGGCGCGCGGGTCTGGGTTGCCCCCGCCCGCCCTTCGGTGGAAGGAGGGCCGGGGGCGCCTCCGCAGTCCCGCCGCGAGCTCCCGGGGGCGGGGGTGCCTCTGGCGGGCTTCCTCCCAGCCCGCCCAGTGCTAGGGGCCAGCCGGGGGCGCGTGCCTCGCCCGCCGGGTCGCCTTCCCGGGGGCATCCGCTGCTCGGGGTGCGGGGAGCAGAAGAACGGCGCGTAGGTATCGATTCGCGATAAGCTAATGCGCGCATGGTGGTGGTTAACTCACTGGGGTGCCTTCTAGGGGTGCCTGAGTTTGGGGGGGGGGCGTAGTTTGGACTGCAGTCTTCTAGCTAGCTATAGGTTGACCTCTGCTTTAGGGGAATTTGGACCCACCACCTCCATTCCCATCCCGTCGCAGCAGGACTCTCATCTGCTGCCAGCCGGCCTCGGATTAACGGTGCCCCTTTTTGCTGTCATGCCGCTAGGTTCTTCCCCCAAGCCCAGATATTTTGGTCTCCTTAATCCAGTGGCCGTGCTGGCTGGGGCTGATGAATGTTGGAGTCCCAAAACTCAAGAGGGGCACCCTTTTGGCTCCTAATGTATTAGCACAGCTGCTTCTCTGTGTGGGCTAATAATTAACCATGTTATTCTATGTCACCTCAGCCTTTGGTCCTATTCCTCCCAAAAATAAACCCCAGCCTAATCATAATCTTTCTGATAATGGAGCTATAGAATATGGGGGCGCTTTAAACTCTAGTAAATCATAGTTTCTGTAGTTGCATATCTATAGTTTCTTTGCTAAACTCTCCTGGATTTATTTACTGGATTTGTTCTGGCTTTGGCTTGCAGAAACTCGGTCATTTCCTGTTGCTGGGGCCTTGCCCAGATGTGCTTTGGTGAATTGAGCTTGTCCCTTTATTGTAGCATCTTCACTCGCTTGCACTTTTAAAATCTGCCTAAATTTGGGCCTGGAGCCAGGACTTCTTTAATCATTCTAAGAGCAGTGCAGAACACGGGTTGGTCTGTTTGTGTTTCCTGCCAATTACTCTGCCATTCTTGCGATTAACATGTCTGTCTCTTGCTAGTGTATCATATGAAATTCTCCCCCTCTCTCCAAAAAACCGAGACACTGCTTCTTCCTCTGTGCCCACGTGACCCCCTTCTATGCCAGGGTAATCATTTTTGGTTGCCAGAGAATGTTTTCTGTTTACTGAGAAATATTTCTGGAAAGCTTTTATTACTAGGTGGTTATTGGAAGCTGTCCTCCCCGCCCTGATAGGCCCATCCCAACTTTTCCAGGTTAAATCAGTTGTCCAGCCCAGTAAGTAAAGAGGCATTAGCTGGCTGCCCTGAGCTGGAGCTTAGTTTATCCATGACCGCCCTGTCAAGAGAGCTAAACCATGGGGAACTTCATTTTAATGAAGGTTTCTGTAGCTGGTTTAAACACCTTCATTGAAATCAAGCCACCCTGTTTGTCTAACTAAAAGTAAAATTGTAGTCTCCATTTCCATCAATGCACTGGGGGTGTTTGAGGGTTGAATCTGAGATGTTTGCACCCAAATGGAGACTTGTGCCCTTGGCAGAAAAGTAGAAAACGGGTAGCAGAGAAGGGTTTGGAAGGGCACACTTGATAGTTGCTCTCTTCCCTTGCCCTCGGCTTTAGACTAGGTGCACAGAAGATCGCTTAACTCCACCCAGTTTCCTGTGAAGGGTGGACATGGATAGAAAAGCTCAGTAGTTCTGTTTTTAGACTCTCACAGCTGTGTCCTCTTCTCAGGACCCTGCTGTTATCCAGCACAAGCCTAGTTCTGACTACGCCACTCTGGACGTCTACAATCCTTTCAACAACCCCAGGGTAAGAGAGCTGCTCTTATCAGGATATCTGGAAAATGTATTTTGCTTGTGTTCAGGCACTAGCCATGTTTGGTCTCAGTGGGATTGTGTGCCTGCATGTTTTCAAAATGGCCCGCTTACACCTTGAGATCTAGTAACTTGGGTGGGCTGTTTCGTCAACAAAAGATGCTTTGCCGCCTTCTCTCGGTTCCTTGCCGTTGACTTGCACCTCGGAAGGCGTTGTGGCAAAGTGAACAAGCCCTTGGCGTGGGGTGGGCTTAAATAAGGCCTCGCGGGAACGTAAAGCATCTGGGTCCAGTCTAGCCTAGTCTTGTCAGTACTGACTGACAGCAGCCCTGCAAAAGTCCCCTCCTTCCTGGAGAGCGAACATGAGCCCCTCTGCCCTTGAACCATGGCCTTTCTTCACGACTGTGCTCCTTGGGTCACAGAAAGCCATGCTAGCCTGCCTCGAGCTATTTCACTACTAGCTCAGATGGGCTACTCCCCACTCCCCCTCACTACTCCCCTCTGGGTCTTCCGCCCTCACTGGTGGCGACTGTCCAAAGCATGCAACGATTCAGAGAGCTGAAAATCGGCACATCTGCACCTTGATTCTTTCTCTGCCTAAGCAAATCACTGCCGGCTTCGTCGTTTCCCATCTGCAGCAAGAGGATAATCCTAGCTAACCTTGCAGGGTGGTGAAAAATAGCCAGGTAGTGCGTGTGTCGTACTTTGAGCACTTGAAAGCAGTCATGGAGAGTTGCACGGTTCTTCGGGGGGAAGAAAAAACGATAAGAGAAACCCGGGGGGTTTTGCTGGCAAAATTGCCCCTGTGTCGCTCGGCTGCAGACCCTGACTCGTGGGAGGTTTTGACGGTCCTCTTCTCTCTCTTCTGCAGCAGGCTCCCCCTCCGTTTGAGTCTCCAGCCTCGGCACAGACTGTCCCTTCAGTGACCCCAGCGCCACCAGCTTCTGTCCCGCAGCCCCTCCGAAAATCGAGCCCCACAGAACCCAGGAATTATGGTTCCTATGGCACCCAGGTACCGGGATAGATGGTGCCAACGCTTGGGATGATATTGTGGGCATGAGAGGGCTTCTTCGGGTCGTGTGTGCAGTGCTGGCTTGCTAAAGAAAATATTACAAAAAAATTAAAATCTAGGTTCTGTGGGATGATTTTCCATGGCAGTTGTGAATCGAGTGAATAATTGTTTGGACGTTTCCTCATGCAAAATGATTTTTGCAGTTGATACGAATGACTATCAGCTTGAGGGTGAAATCTGCATTCTTTTGCTGTTCCCCTTCTCTAAAAATGCTCTTGAGTTTCCCACTGTGGCTTCTGAGGTTTTTTGTCCGCAACCTCTTGAGGACTAGCAGCTTGATTTTTTAAAACTGCTATGCTCAGAATATTGTACACAGTAACTGAAGTCCCCCCTCCCCTCCCCATGGCTTCACATGGTGGGTAGCTGCCCTGACTAGAGGCCCTTTCATTTTAAGGACAGTAATATATTTTTAAATCTTTATTTTTACTTCTGTACTGTGGTGCCTGAGCAGCAACAACTTGAGGATTTTTTTATGAGACACTTGCACTTTTCTCTGGGTTTTCACTGAAACTCCCTTTCCGTGCTAGGGTGCTTTCCAGTTAGTTTTTACAGCACAAAGCTGTATTGAAGAGTGCTGTGGATTTTGATTTTCCCTGTTCACTGAGGGCCTTGCCGCTCTTCAATGAGGAACTGTGGGCAGCATCTCTGGCAGAACCCTTTGCCCCCAAAATGGAAGAATAATCTCTGCAACAGATGGGTGCTTCTCTCTTCTCTCTTTCCTGGAAGGATTCGACCGCAGCAGCCACCGCTGATCTGTTGAAGCGTCAGGAGGAGCTGAACCGCAAAGCAGAGGAGTTGGATCGGAGGGAGCGAGAATTGCAGAACGCTGCTCTGAGCAACGGAGCAGGTAGAGGCTGCCCCAACAGCGAGAACCCCCGACCCCTTGCTGAAGTACTTGTGAAAATCACCCCCTCTCCCCTCTCCCATTCTGCTTACAGTCCGACAAAATAATTGGCCTCCATTGCCTTCCTTCTGTCCCGTGAAGCCATGCTTCTATCAAGATATTCCAGTAGAAATTCCTGTGGACTCCCAGAAAACAGTTAATATCATGTACTACCTTTGGATGGGTAAGCCCTTGAAAGGGAGTTGTTGCTTTGCATGCAAACGGTCCCAGATTTATGCATCTCTCTTCCGATCAGAAGCATGAGGACTGGAATCTTGCTTTGTGTTTAAGGGAAAGTGTTTCACAGCAGGTAATAACTGTAGAACTGTGAACACATGCTCTGTCAGTGCTACTCTAGGGTTGCAGATAGAGGTCTGTCTTAGCCCTACCTGGAGATGTAGGGACCCAAACCCTGCACTGTTCGGTCCAGAGGTTCTTTTGCTTAAACTACGGCTATTCCCCAGAGGGGAATAAACACATATAATCTTTCTGTCACTCATAGCAACACAGCCTTAAAAATCTCTTGGTGGAGTGTTTACTACTAGCGCTGGGACATTCCCACAGTGTGGTGTTTTTAGCTGTCTTCAGACAAGGTGGCAGAAATGACTTGGAAGCAGTGAAACTCATGATGAAAGATACTGATCTGCTTTGCCCATGATGCTAATGGTCGTTGTGACATACAAACACAGCCATGCTAACAAACCATGGATTGTTAACCACAGACAACCCAGAAAGAGAACCCATGTTGTTGGGTTTCAAACTCTGGGTTGTTTAAAGCATGGGTTGTTGACACAGACAGAACTGTGGGTTGTTCAGGGATTGTTTTGCCAGATTTCAGAAGCAGGGGACAAGAGCAGTAAAAAAATAACCCAGCACCTCTACATGCCAATGCTACGGTGTTGGAAAGGCATTTGGGGTCAGGAATAGAATGGGCAAAGGAGGAAGAAAACAACCAGCCAAGGGATTGAAGAAACAAACGGCAGTTCCTTTGCTTGTCTGCAGAGTAAAAGCTGGGTTTAATAAAACCCAGGTCGCTGGCTGATTTTCTTGTTCCCTCTCTCCTGCAGCCAGCGCGCTCACCCTCTTCTTCAATTTCCTGGCAATGCTGGCTTGGTTCTGTGTGGACGTGTCAGGCGGTTCCGGCTTTGGCCTCTCCATCCTGTGGCCTTTGCTCTTCACACCCTGCTCCTTCCTCTGCTGGTTCCGGCCCATGTATAAGGCTTTCAGGTATGGTGCTCCAACGGATCAGTGGCACTCCAGTCCTTGCAGGCCACTCAGAAACAGAATGCTGCAAGGTACAGAGGAATCGTTGCTTGGCTACCTGGGCCAGAGTTTTCAGGGAGGTGAAATCGCCTGCAGCTTGTGGGCAAGCCAGAGACAAAACAATACATTTATTATTTATTTATTTTTCGATTTATATCCTGCCTTTTTCCTACAAAGGGCTCAAGGCAGCTTACATCATTCTCCTCCTCCATTTTATCCCCACAACAACAACAATTAGGAGGGTGGGTACTCGGAGGAGGGCTTTCTCTGCGGTGGCGCCTAAGTTATGGAACGCGCTCCCCAGAGAGGTCCGCCTGGCGCTGTCGTTATTTGTTTTTTGGCGCCAGGCGAAGACCTTTTTATTCAAGCGGCATTTTAACTGTTAACATTATTGGTTTTATCTGGCCAGGGCGGCTTATTTTATACTGTATTGTGGTATTTTAATTTAATATTTATATTTTTAATTTATATTATAATTATTGTGAGCCGCCCCGAGGCTTCGGCGAATGGGGCGGCATAAAAATGTTTTAATAAATAAACAAACAAACAAACAAACAAACAAACCCTGTGAGGTAGGTTGGGCTGAGAGTCTGTGACTGGCCCAAAGTCACCCAGTTGGCTCCATGGCTGAGTGGGGACTAGAACCCAGATTGTCTGAGTCCCAGTCCCAGGCTCTTAACCACTACACCACACTGGCTCTCATAAAAGGGACCAGCCTGTTTTAGTGCCTGGTTTTTCCTGGTAATAACTAAGCCTTAGCAGAGGTGTTCACCAGCTCAGATTAGGGCAGATGGACATGCAAAAGCTGGGGAGCCACGGAGTGATCAGAAGCGGGGCGGGGGGAAGGGCCAGAGGAAGTCATGGGGCTATCTGGGAAGCCTGAGAGGGCTCCGTGGGTGCCCCACGGTCCTGAGGATCTGCACCCCTGTATTAGATCAGGACAGAGCTGTTTCCCTTATCCACCTCGTATGGTGTCTTTGAGTTGGGCTGCAGGCGGTTTGAATCTGTTTGTGGCTCAAGTCTCTTGGTCCCTCCTTTGCTTGACAGCTGCAGCCAAAACTAGGGCAGCCCCAATCCTCTGGGGCCAGTGGGAGGACTAGGGCCTGTGGCGCAAGGAGCACTAATGGCTGTTCTCTCTCTCTTCCAGGAGTGACAGCTCTTTCAACTTCTTCGTCTTCTTTTTCATCTTCTTTGCACAGGACGTGCTGTACGTTTTTCAGGCCATTGGCATCCCTGGATCAGGTTTCAGGTAGGGCCCGTCCTGTAGTACTAGAACTGTAGCCTAGGAGTGGTGCTTTCCCACCTACAAAGGTGTGTTTATATTTTTGTTCATTTTTTTTGGCTCTGCTTTCTTCCTCTAGTGAATGGAAGGAGCAGCTCAGACTGGGACACCCTCTACTCCTGTAGGGAAAGGAACAGAGGCTTACAGGATTTTGTGCTGGGTTGTTTCGATATGCATGTGTTCCACGATTTTGCACTAACACCAAACTCAGATATGGTGATAGATTGAAAATTCAGATTCATAACCATCAGCTCCGTCCGTCCGTCCTTCCTTCCTTCCTTCCTTCCTTCCTTCCTTCCTTCCTTCCTTCCTTCCAAAGCAATTATGGCACACATAATTAAGCATAAAATCCCAAAACTGGAGCCCCAAAGAAATAGAAATAGAGTGAACAACTTAAAAAATTAGTTTCTGGTTTCTTAGCCTCATCGAGCTGTTGCTGAATTTGCTCTTCATGCTGCACAGATCAGGAAAACCTCCGTAAGTAAGAGAAGTTACTGATCAAGTTTGAACTCTGTTTGCTGCTGCTGCTGCTGAATTCATTTTATACCACCCAATAGCCAAAGCTCTCTGAGTGGTTTACAGCAGTTAATTGTTATGCTTTAAGCAAAAAGAAATAGGCCCGTGCAAGCTGTGTGGATTAACTTCTGACTCCCTTGTGGGAGCAGCAGTGGGGGCCAAGTCCACAACAGTCGTTCACTTCACCAGATGTGAAGGGTGATAACACCTGTGCAGAGGAAGGAATCTTTGCTTGTACACACATTGTTAGAATCTATTTAATGCCATTTTTTGTGTTTAAATGCATTTTCTAAGCAGCCATCACTGCCCCCCACACACCATCTGTTTTGACCTGGCAAATGGACTGAGCTTGGGATCCGATTGTGCTTAACATAGCTAGGTGGGGTGGGGGAATAATCCATTCTCTGTACCAGGAGCAGGTAACCTCGTTCCTTCTAGATGTTTCGGACCATTCCTGACCACAGGCCCTGCTGACTGAAGATATTTTTTTGGATATTTTTTGGATATTTTAGATATTGCAGTGGTCTAGAGCACCTGGAACATACCAGCTTGCCTTGACCCAGCCAGAGCCGCCTCGGGGCTTCATTCTTTGCGTCCTTCTCTTCCCCTTCCCGCATTCTCATTGCAGTGGTTGGATTATGAGCCTCACAGCACTGAAGAGGAACACGGGGGTGGCCATCCTTATGATGGTGGTGGCCATGTCCTTTACAGCCGTTGCAGGGATGGGCATCATCATGCTGAAGCGAGTGAGTATTGGGTTCCCCGGCCTTCGCCCCACGCACACCTCTTCCCTTCCCCATGCCTGTGTGCCACTGCAGTTTTCCCCGTGAGGTCTGCCTTGGAAGCAACCTGTTGGCAGGTGTGGACTTGTGATACAGTTAGTGCTCCAAGGAAAGGTGAGAGCTGAGCACCAGGAAGGAGTGGGGCAGATTTAGCTTCTAAGAGGACCGATTTGGCTTCTAGAAGAGTGAATAGAGGAAGGGAAGCAATTGGCAATTTCTCTCTCTTTTCTCTTGCTGGGAGAACGTAATGCATACGGGTTCCGTTGGGCTCCCCTTTTGGCACTCAACAAGCCTTTTGTGTCTCCTGATTGATTTATTTCTTAAGATTTTTAAAAAATACCTTGGGCACCATTCCTTACTGCAACAGTAGGATATAAATTAAAGCAATGCATATATTTGGGATCAAAATTTAGTGGCTTTGTGTTTTGGAGCTCAGAATCTGCCTCTGCTTTTTGAATAGGTTCTTGGGTCATTGCTTTTGTTTTAGTATCACTGGAAAAAGCAGCATTTTGTGACTGGCCTCACGCACCACCACACCAGCTGGCAAATGGCCAAGCCCTATCCCATAGCATCCATTTTGTGAAAATAACCATGATGCATTGCAAAATTGCAGGTGTAGTTACTGACTCAAAAATGGTTTGGGACCCCCAGCGTTAGAGATTTATGGACAGAACTCAGTGGAAGTTGATGAGATAGATTTTGTTTTATAAAAATGTAATTAAAAGTGAGTCAAGATCATCTATACTACTTTATTCCCTATCATTGTGTATGGGTGGAAAAATTGAACAGTAAAGCAATAACAGGAAGCATTTGAAACATGGTTCTGGAAGAGAGTTCTGCAAATACGCCGAACCACCAGGCAGGCAAAGCGCTCCTAGATGACATCAAGCCAGAACCTGACCCGGAAGCAAAAATGACCAAACTGAGGTTGTTGTATTTGGGCACATTCTGAGAAAGCAAGACTCACGGAAGAAGACAGGCTAGAGAGAGTCAAATGCGGAAAAAGAGGAAGACCAACTAAAGAAAGCCACAGCCTTCAGCTTGTAAGGGTTGTGAAGGACAGTATATTTTGGAGGGTTTTCATTTATAGGGTTGGAGGTAACTTGATGGCACATATCAACATGAAACAATAAAGCACAGTATGTTTATTTGAAAGGGGTGCTGAGAGAGGAAATGAGTTACTTTACTTTTTGGATGTTCTGATCCTCTTTCAAACAGGTTGTGCATGTACCCCTTTTTCCTAGCAATAGGAGTGTCAGTGTAGGAGTACAGAACCGTCTCGCAGAATTGGCATTTGGCACAGTACGCAGCCTCCTGAAAAACTCCCACATTTTCCTTTAAAGCCAGTGAGTGGCTCCAACAGATACACTTGAGAGATCCTGGTGAAGCCCCATCTCTGCACCCTACCCAAAGCAGAATACAGTGCGCCAGACGGGAGTCTGCATAAGAGACAAGTTTCAGAATCCTAATCTGGCTCACAGCCTTAGCATCTGTTTTTCTTCATGGGCACAGTGTGCATGCCTTTTTATCTCTATTTTGCATCTTTTCATGTCAGAATCGAAAATGAGAGGCCTGACTTCTGTTTTTTCCTCCATTTGGGAAGGTTTCTCTTCCCCATTTTTTAGGAGATCAGGTTTATGACTTGTTTCGTCCAGTGAACTGCACATTGCTTGACTCTTGTGCTTTCCCCTCCCTTTCTCCCTCCCCCCCCCCCCCGCCACAGATCCACTCCCTCTACCGCCGCACGGGTGCCAGCTTCCAGAAGGCTCAGGAGGAGTTTGCCGCTGGCGTGTTCTCCAACCAAGCAGTGCGCACGGCAGCATCCAGCGCAGCCACCGGGGCAGCAAGCAGTGCCTTCCGAGCCCCCTAAAATGAGTGCGGGAGAAATTGGCTGCTGCTCTTTCTCTGACCCCTTTCCCACGAAGGGCAGCTTCAGCGGAAAATCCAAGTTGCACTTTTTCCTTTCCCTGTGCTGATTTTTTTAGAAGGCTGTTTTGCCCGCCATCCCTTGTACACCCGTTTCCCTCCGAGGTTCGGCATGGAATCGGCACTGCTGGCTCATTCCTCCTTTTTGCTGCAGGAACTGTCACCCCTTTTCCCCAGAATGGAAGGGGGGGGGCAATTTCAGGCTTCCTTTCCTTTTCTCCCCTCCCCAACCCAACCCCCAAGGGCTGTGGAGAATGGAGGCACCCGCTATATGCCTTGCTGGAACTGACTCGTGTTTTGTCGGTGCCTCTGTGCACTCACACCACGCTTCCTCTGACTTATCCCGGGCACAGAGTGGCACAGACCGGCTAGTTCTGTTCCTCTCGCTTTACATGTCTTGTGTCGCCCAGTTTTAGTCGAGCAACAGCCTGAGAAGCCAGTCCTCCCACAATCCTCTCTTCCTCTTCCTGATAGGCTGCTGCTTCTATTTACGGGCAGGGGTAACACGGCACAGTGATCAGAGGCATAGACTGCCTGCCGGGTGGAAAGTCAGCTGAGGTGCCTGGTTACTATCTGGCATGGGCAGGCGGTGGCAAGGAAAGGAGGACCTGCTGAAAATCCGCCTGTTGACAGATTAAGCGGCCCTGCTCAGAGGACGCATGATGCCTGTCTCCCTCGCACTGCTGATTCTCCTGGCCGCTCCTGATAGGAATACGAACAATCTCCTGCACCAGCTTCTTTCCTCCTCCACCTGACCTGGCCTTTCGCCAAGCAGGGAGATAGTTTGGGTCGTCCTCTTCCTTTGGTTCTTGCTCTAGCAGCTTTGGGGTGCTGCAGCGGGGCAGTGGAGAGCAGAGATGCTGGCTGGTTTTGGTGGTCTTGGGTTTTGACAGCTCCCCTGCAAGGTTGAGTAGAGCTTTCTACCAGTGCTGGACATTGGGTGGTGGTTTGACCTACATGATCAACTGCCTTATTTGTACTGGGAATAAAAGTACGGTGTTTTTTGTTTTACCAAAGCAGAAAGCATGTGTGACACTGAAACCCTTCGATTCGTTCTTGCAGCTGCTTTGGTGATCTGCGTTTGCCAGTTCCATGTCTATGGTTTCCCCCCACAGCCTGTGGGGGCTCTGTGCCTCTGATCATTGTTCCCCCTCTCCATGATCCATAACATGCTGCATTATCTTTCAAGCAGCATGTATTCCTTTCTGAAGCAGCTGTGACCTCCGTTCCCCCCATTTCGTCCCCGTGGAGAGTTTTCTTTCTCTCCAGTTTCTTTTATTGCTTTTCTGACATTACCTTTCTGTAAAAAATGCATCTTTTTTTAAAAGTATGCCGAAGATAAAAGGACTTCCCACCCACCACCTGGAGCAGAGGGCTGCTTCATGTACTCCTTTGTGTGTGGAGGAGCAGGCACATTTAGAAAGGTATTGGCAAAATCTCTGCTTTTCCTCCTCTCTCCACATCTGAGAGTGTGTAAAGCTGAGATCTTAAAGCTGTTTGTCTTAGGATCTGGATTCCACTTAACTGGCTCCATTCATGTTCCCAGAGCATGGGCAGAGGAGCTGCTGGTGAAGGTTCGAGGTACAGCTGGTACCTCTTTTGCTACATGCTAAGCAACTTAGTTCATGATCTGGGATCCTCCAATGAGCAAAGAGGTTCCCCTGGCTTTCTCTTCTCTGATCTCCATTTCAACATCTGCCCTGTGCCACTGCTGCTCCTGGATTCACCCTAACTCAAGGGTTGGCTTTGTTCTGTGATTCTCCCTGTTTGTTTCACCCCATGCTCGGTGCCTCTTCTTTCCCCCGTGTCTCTGGAGTTACTGGATCTGTACTTCGTATCCGGGGTTTTCCTCTACTGACTTGATGCTGTGTCTGCCCCCGCCCCCCTCTGTCCATTGGACCTTCTTGTCCTCGTGTGTGTATGTGTGTGCCATTTCCCTCTGTGCCAAATGCAAGATGACTTACAGAACTTTATTTAAGGAATAAACAACATTTTAACTCATTGTCTTCTGGGCTGATGTAGCTGTTTTGCTTTTGTTTTTTGGAGGGGTAAATAATACCACTGAAGACAGAAGGGGAAAACACTGAAACTCCTTAAAATGCATTTCTGAATTAACCCGTCACACCCCAGAGGTGCGTGAAGGATGTTGGTTAACTTCCAGTGGCAAGCAAGTTATCCTGGGAGGCAGAGCGTGCCAACAGGATGCATTGGATCTTCTCAGTTCCATCTTGCAAAGCAGAAATGGTCATTTTGCTTAGGAATTGGGTCCTCTGCAGTTGTTGGAGCCTTGGCCTTCCTGCCAAATTACCTGCAGCTTTTAAGAGCCAAGCTTGCACAAGCAAAGTAAACGGCTGTGGCTTGTTTTTAATCGCTGGTGTGAGCTTTCCTCCATTTTGGTCTTTTGCTGCCCCGCTGTGGTTTCTCATGATGTTCAAACCCAAGTGGCGTGTGGAAGGGTTAGGGTTGTGGTTTCCCCGGCAAACAAGCCATGCCTCTCGGCGTGGAACTACACAACAAGCTGTGCTTGGGCATGTAATTGTACAAAGGACAATTGGTGCACAGCACCAAATAAAACAAGCCACCATGGTTTATGTAAATACAGGGAGGTATTGTTTGGTCCCACAAACTGGCCAATGCTCTCCCATTTAAATTCAGTTTCTCCTTGGCCACGAAAACTGTATTGGCATAAACTGGGCCTTTCTGTATTCTTCCTTCTGCACTTTTCTACCTATACCTGGCCTTTTGGAAGGGGAATGCTTTTCTGCTTGACTCTTCAGAGGTGTTTCCTAAAACTTGCCTCCGTACATTCTCCCTAACAGCTGCTCCACTAATCCAGTATATTCTCAGGAGAATTGTGCGGGAATTACTGTACTTAAATGGCTTTTGGGAAATTCCATGTTTTCTAACTATTCTGACACAAGGAATTGCTTATGATATCATTTCCTGACTTTTTGCCAGAGTTATTGCCAAAAAAATATATAGTTTAAGTGGGAAAAAGATTTTTCTGGATGAGGCTGTTAATCCATTGTCTTTATGTTTGACTTCATTGCTTAATTAAGATTAGAATGTTTCACAAAGGACTTGGCCTTGCCTACTTTTTTGTACTTCCCAACTTTTCCCCCAGGTGGGGCTGTTATATAGTAAAAATAACACAATTACAGCGGTTGGGATTTGTGCTTTGTTTTAAGATGGAAAAAAACCTACCTTTTTTGGTTTCATTGCCTGGCAAAAGTGCTCTTAAAACACAAGTGAAACTGGAGGGTCATGATGCTATCTAAAGCACCAGGAAACAAAAATATAATTATTAATAATACATTGCATTTATATTCTGTGTTTCTTCTTTTTTGCAAAGAATCCAAGGTAGGTTAGGTTGGGAGGCAGTAACTGGTCTGAAATTGCTGAACTGGGACTGAAACCCAGTTTGGAGTCCCATGCCAGCACTCTTAACCACGACACCATCCTGGCTCACCAAACCATTTGTTGGAATAAAGAAAAAGCCAAGCAAAGCCCTCAGTGTTGGACAGAAGTTCATAGTGGAGAAGACTTGCCAGGAGGAAACTGCAAAAGGTCCATGGACAGCAGAGAGAAGAAACTGCCAAAAGAGAGGGAAAAAGTGAAGCATGTTAAATCTGGATCTCTTATAGATAGTAGCAGAAGAAAAAGTTGCTCCAAAAAGAAGACGGCAGCTCAAAATTTGGTTATAGCTGGCTTTCTTCAGTCTGTAGTACTGTACCTGTTGCCATAGTTTGCTAAGTATGTTCATAGTAAAATGATCAATTCTGTGACAGATACACCTGAATGGGTACAATTTTGTGTCCCAGACAAGTCGGGAAGAAGCTAAGTAGGGCAACTTCACACTGAGTTTTTGTTTGGTTTTAGTGCTTTCCCAGGAAGAATAATTTATCATATGCTTCTGATTCCTCTCCTAGAGTAGTTTGTGAGTGCTTTGCAGGATATTGCTATCTTCCAGGGTTTCTCTTGCGTTCTTCAAGCATTTGTGCTGGGATTTTTTTAGAGTGAGAAATGTGTACTGTCTGAAAATGGTGAAACAAACTGGAATGTGAAATTCTCCTATTTTTGTAGTTCTGCTGTATGTCAGCACTTATAATAGAACATAAGGAGAGGCAGAGAAAAGAAAACGAGCCCATGAATGGATCCCTGTTTCATTGATGCAGAAATGGAGATCTCTTTTCTTGTCAAATAATGATTATTTAGAGCTCTCTGCAGGTTTTGTAATGTTGAAGTATCATCTGCTTTGTGCATCTTAGAGTCCCTTTATTTATTTCAAACTTTTGTATACCGTCCACTACCAAATGGTCTAGGAACGGTCTTACAGTAAAACAAAGAGAAGCACAGCACCCATTCTATACAATAAAACAGTAAGAACCCACTTAAAATCTCAATCTAAACCTTAAAATACTGGGAAAATAAAAAGGTTTTGGCCTGGTGCCAAAAAGAATAAAGTGCTGGCGCCAGGCAAATCTCTCTGGATGAAGAATTCCTGTGGGAAAGGTCCATATTGCACACATGGTCAGGCTTGGGCCTTTTCCATTTTTCTAAAATGTTTTAATGTTCATTTCTAAGTTATTTCCTGTCATTCTTTTCGGAAATAAGAACATGCTTATTGGTGACTATGAATTATGAGGAAATAAAAACGAAGTATAATTCTTTACATGTGGTTTTTAAATCCCCAAGCATTTTCAAAAACAACAGTTCTATCTTTGCATTATTTTTTTAAATCAATTTTAAGAATGCAATCTAACTTTTGAGTGCAATCTGACTTGAGTGCCGTTTTGGGGAGTAGAAAGGCAGGGCACACATTAGATAAATAAGCTAAATTTATTCAGTAGCACCCTAAATAATTTTCTCAGTAAAATACCCCACCCCATCCTACTTCGTCTCTCTCTCCCAATTTGTAGGTCCCACAGACACAATTCAAAGGAATCATGAATAAAATTATGAATACTGAACTATATGAACCAAGTGGAATGTGTAACATAGGAGCAAAGCCATTCCCAGCACTTTCCCACTGGAAAAAAAGGATATTTGTCTTTAAGAAACAGACTGAATAGGGTGGCCTCATTAAACTGAGGGAGACGCCATTGCAGGTGGATGTAGCAAAGTAACCATCTGTGGAGCTGTTTTTCTTTCTTTCTTCTTCTTCAACCCTTCACAAGGTATTTATGTGAGGCCAAAAAGGGCCTTTTCCCAACTAATTAAGCTACCATGGGTGGAAATGGCTGTGGTGACAGTTTGCCTTCTCCTCACAAGTGTGTTGACTCTCCTGCTTTGCTTGAGGCAAGGAAGGGGCAGTCAGTCAAACATTTTGGTGGACATTTTGTTGCCTTGTGGCCGGTTCTCCTGGTGGTTTTGTTTTGGTTTGGTTTTGTTGTTATTTTACAGTCACAGACAAGGTTTTAAAAAGGATAATGTAGCAGAAGGAAAGTTAGAACACCCTTAAAACAAGTGTTTGATGTATTCTGTGGGCCTAGTCCTAACGATAGGAAGACACAGACCAATATGGCTTCCTCCTCAGCTATCCCTTCGCCCTGCGGTCACCACACAACCCTAAAGAAGTGCTTGACTTAGTTAGTCTTTGAAGAAAACCTGGTGGCCACTTTGCTAATAAAAACAGTTTTTTTAAATAAGGAGAGGGATGAGAACTTTGAACTTGAAGGAAGCCTCGCATGCTGACAAGATGGCTGACCAAATTCCCTTTATATAACCATCTCTGCTCTGTATTTTCCTTTCTTCAGGTCATTTTTGCTTCTTTTTTGCCGTGCAGCTTTGTTTTGTCCAAGAAGGGGCCAGTCTGCAATTTGAACCTCTTCTGAATTTGGGTTCTGCACAGAAAAAATGGCTATTTCAGCCCTGTGTGTGTGTGTGTGTGTGTGTCTTTCCCTCTTTGTATTTATTTTTGTGTGTGAGAAAGAGAATTTAACTTTCATTCTGGAAAGAAGCACCTTAATCTCCATTAGAGAGCAGGCTAAGAAATACACTTAAATGGGGTTGCCAGATTAAAGTGTGTGGGGGGGTGCAGTTTCCCTAAAACTGCCATATTATCCTCCACATTTCTTCTTTCTAGCTATGAAGGGAGAGATTTTCCCCCCTCTTGAATTGCTTTCTCCACGGGCCTCCCTGGGCATCATTTTTGGCCGAAGGAGAGGACAGAAATCAAATAGGCAATCAGGTTAAATCTCAGAAGTCTTTCACATTTTCCTTTTCTACCGGTGTGTTGGGAAGTTTTGTGCAGAGATGGGTTTGGCAACCATATCTGGGTTCAGATCATGTAATAATAAGGGATGCGCAAGGGTTGAGTTCAGAATGAAACATGTCTAAATCTAGCCACAATAAGAAGCCACGGCTTTTTAATGGCAAAATTTGGCACAACTATTGGGAAATTCCGAAATCGACTGGTTGTCTGTACCCGTTAACATCATGTGCTCTAGGCAGCTGTTACAATAAAAAAACCGATAAATAACATTGATAAAATAATACAATTAAAATATGTCAAAATGCTAGCCCTAAATAAGCAGGATAAAATCGCTATGCTATGCTAGCTGGGGCATGCAGGGGCTGGTGTAGCTTGTTTCCTATTTAAATATGCCTTTGTCTTCTTTAAAGAATAAAATACAAAAAAGGAAAAATAGATTATTATTATTATTATTATTATTATTATTATTATTATTATAACATTTCTATGCCGCCCCTTGCCAAAACCTCGGGGTGGCTTATAACAAGATAAAATACATTGAAATACAATAGCACATAATAAATTACCATTAAATCCAAAAATACAAAAAATACATTGATTTACAAATATAAGATTAAAATTATCAGTAGTATAAATTTAAGTAAATCAGTATAAATTAAGTAAATAAAAATATGGGAGGAGAAAGAGAAGGAAGAAGAAGTTGCCCTGGCCAGATCATATGTTTTAACAATTAAAATGATGTTTAAATAAAAAGGTCTTTACCTGGCGCCGAAAAACCAGTGACGACGGTGCCAGGCGGACCTCTTTGGGGATATCACATTTAAAGGAATAAAATACAATTTTAAAAACGTGTGTGTGTGTGATTTTCCTTGCATTATTTTGTTTTCTTGATGCATCTCTTGTTATCACTACACCAGCAGTGTGTGTGCGCTTGACACAGTATAAGAGAGAGTTCCCTGCCCCAAGGACACGGCATTCTAAAAATTCTGCACAGATAGAAAAATAGAGGAGAGGAGCCATCCTGTGTGGTTGCCCATATTCCTGCCAACCTGGAGGATTTACAGGCATCTAGTGGAAGGCAGGAAGAAAGTAGAGGCTAGGATTCCCTCTGTTCTTCTCTTGCCTTCCAGCACCTTTACACAGTCAGTGTCAGTGGCCTTTGGTGCTCTCCTCTTGCTCATGAGGAGAGGCTGAGGATCCACAGTGATTCTTTAAAGGGTGGTGCTCCCTTCTCAAGGGTTTAAAATGGACATTGGATAGGGATTTCAGGAAGCTGAGAGAGATGTTACAGTATTACTGGCATCACTGTTTGCAATGCTGGAGCTCAGCCTTGGAATTTAGGATTAAAAAAAAACTGGACAAAGCTGGTGCAGGTGCAAAGGTATGGGGGTCATGTTGAATAAAAACAGTCACTTTTATTTAACTGATTTAATTTGTATTTTTTGGTTGTTATTCATTGCTGTTTTATTGTGGTTGTTTTAATGATTGTAAGCCATCCTGAGATGCCATGCATAAGGGATGGCATACAAAAGTTTTAAATAAATTTAAATAAACAAATGTGTTTTACTTTGCAGAGAACAGTCCTCTATTTGATGGTCTTTCCTGATTTAGAATAATGTTTCTTATGCCTATGTGGTTCACGGTACTGGTTTTCAAGATGATTTTTGGTAGTATGTTGTTTTGATTATAAGTCCAGATGCTTTATGGTTCTCAAAGATGAATTTGCATACTCCTAGTTAGCTATCATCTGTCTTTCTAAAGGGGGTTAAAATGGCATTTTTAAAGACATTTCAAATGCTATTTTATTCTTTTAAGTTTTTTATTTTAAATAATGTTTGTTTTGTATTCATGATCAACAAGATTTTCAACCATTTTTAAAAACAATCCAATCTCTTGGGTTACAAGTTTATATGTCAGTTTAGATGACTGCAACAATTTTGTTTGAATGCTGCTTCATCAATAATTGCATTGAAATTGTTCATGAATTCCTTTCCATTTTCTGATGATTCCATTTTGTATATATGTTACTTAGTCCACTGCATCACTGAGGCTTCTGCTTCTGGACTCTTTGCAGGATTAAAAGTGGCTCCTTTCCATGCGCTTTTTCCTTCCCTCTCTCTGCCCTTCTGGGTGTTTCATAAGACAAGCAAAAGGTGGTGCTGTGGTACAGCAGAATTGTGCAAATGCACGAGGGTTTCATGCCATCGTTCAGAGATACTACCAGACTTAGCCTGTTAGGAGAAAAAGGGTCATAATGGTTGCAAAGCACGGGAGAAGACCTCAAGGAGGACAACGTTAGGAGCTGGAGTGCTGAGCTTTGGCTTGGGAGACCTGGATTCGAGTCCCCACTCAGCCATGAAACCACTGGGTGACTTTGGGCCACGCACGATGCTCAGCCCAACCTACCTCGCAGGGTTGGTGTTGTGAGGATAAAATGGAGAGGAGGAGAACATTGTGAGCCACCTTGGGTTCCTTGCAGGAGAGAGAAAGGTGGGAAATGAAGACCATGAACACTCAAATTACCACGAGTGAGGAGTCACAAGGGCACAACCCTTCAGAATGGTTTGGCTGGAGTCCCTCTGAGGAAGGCACTCTGACCCCCCCGGATCTTTGGCACCGGGAATTCCTCTCCTTTCCCCACATTCATTCCTGGTGTCCTCCCTTTTTTCTTTCTGGCCTAACCAAAAGGGGGCCACCCCAGCGGATCTCCATTCACGGATAGGATGAGACGTGGGTGATTCTGTAAAGCTGGGTGCCCATTGTGCTCAGCTCTCACTGAGGACCTCTCCCTCCCTCTGGAGGTTGCTACAAGTCACGGAGCAGGGCCTCCTGCTCACCACATCTCTTTTTTTAGAGATGAAGGGGCTGGGTGTGGCATGAGGGGCAGGGCAAGGTTACAGCCAGAAAGGAACGTGCTTTTCCAAGCCACAGCAGTGGCTGGTGTTCCTCAGGCTCACAGAGAGTCTTTTTGGCACCTTTTCCTGCCACCTGCCTGACAGGTTCCCCGAGGATGCCCGGGAGAGCAGAGTGGGAAGCGTGGCAAATGCTGTGCTCCAGACTGTTTGGGGTTTCCAGCCAGCTCCACCTGCTTGCACTTATTGCAAGAGGGGAGAGATTGGCAACAGCCTCTGGCAGAGGAAGCAATTCCATTAGCAGGGATGGAAGGCCCCGAGGGAGCAGTCCTGATGGCAGGAGAGAGAGAGAGCAGGGTAGGGGGGTGGTGAGCTAGGAGGTGGAATCGCTGGGCTTTTGCAGCTAGTTCCCTTCCTCCCTGCAGCCCGGCCTCTGGAAAAGCTACAGCATGAGAGCAGAAGCCATATCAGTCCAGGATTCTGTTTCAAGCAGGAGGGTGTGAAGGGAAGGGTCTCCCCATTTGTTTATCTCTCTAGCACAGGCGTGTTGAATCCCAGGTTCTCGTGTGATTCTGGGGTATCAGTCTGGTCCTCCTGGTTCTCCAGACTGCCATCCCTTTCCCCTACAACACAACTGCTCGAGGCTTCCTGGCTTTTGCATGTAACTTCATCCCCCTGGTTCTCAAAGTCTGCATGATATTGTTTCTGGCTGTAAGAGAGCCTTGAGCTGAAATATGCTAGCATGTTTGGCAATCTGGCCTTGCTTCCTTCGTCTTTGGCACTGACTGCCCCTGGAATTCAGTTCCCAAGGGCTTCTCTGAAATTAAACTTATTCCTCGGGCAAGAATAATTTTAGTCCCCTGTTCTAGTATCTGGTCTTTGGAGGTGTAATGCTTCTGTATGGGGAGGTTTCCTTTTAGTTGTCATGGCCAACAGCACCCTTGCTTGCCCTGGATCCTTTTCCCCTTGCTAAAGCTGGAGCTGATGCTGGCATGGAGGTGTGGGAAAGGGCCCCCATACATGGAATGAGTAATTATGTTCAGCGCAAACAGCTTGCCTAATTACTAATTCCAGGGTAGGGACTTTGAATCTCATGTTTAAAACTCCAACTCCTATTTCCTGGCATGGAATCCCTGAGCTAAGTTAAACCTGGAGAATTGAAATAATTTCACAGAAGAGCTGAAAGGAACAGAAAGCTTTTGCTAATCTGTGTGCATGGAAAAGAGAGGTCAGCAAAAATGAGATCTCACTTAAAGCAGGGCCTATACATCCAGCTGCCCAAAATGCAGTCATTCAAGGATTAGCACTTAAGCAGGACTTTTCCCCTCACTCCAAAAGCAGCCCAAGCTCTTCCCTAAGGCCTTGTCCCTATTTAGCAAGGCAGCCTATTCTGAGCAGCAATGGCATGGGACGCTTCCAGGCAGGAGGCTCTGAGTGCTCCCACCTAGGAGCCATTGCACAACTAGCTTGTCTTCTCTTTCTCAACAGATAATCTGCAGCTGAAGAAAAAAAGATCTGGGTGGGGAGGAACACAGAGGCCTGGAATCCTGTAAAAGTCTGTGAATGAGACATGGCAAAGGCACTGCAAAATCCAGAACTGGGAGCAAGCATCTTTACCCAGACCTCACAGAATGGTAGTTTCCTGCTCTGCATCTGTGTCCCTGCCATCCAGCCAGAGTAATGCAGGAAGTACAGTGTCTCCCACCCCACCACTTTCCTGCAAACTGGATGCACCCCGGCCAAAAGCACAGCATGCTTTGCGTTTGGCTGGTGAACTACAGCTCCCAAGGTGCAACATGGCAGGGCGTGTCCTTCCTCGCTGCAGCATCAGGACCAGCCACAGCATCCTCCAGAGAGATGCGGGCGCTTGGCAGAGGAAGGCGGCACCTAGAACATCCCTGGCCCAGTCGCATCCTGCAGCTTGTGCAGCCAGATTCTTCTAATTTCTGGTAGGGCTACAGCTGCTTTCTTTGAACCTGAAATTCCTGTTTGGGGCAGAAAGAATACAGAGAGACAGATGAGGGGAGAGCAGGGGTGGGTAGCAGGTGATGTAGCAATCCAGATGCTTTATCTTCTCCGTGATCCCAGCCGAGATAGGGATTTCTGTGCTCCTGTAAAAAGGCAAAGTTGGGGGCTTTCCTAGCACCCCCTAGGAGAGAAGGGCAACCTAAGCCAAAGTTTCTGGGGAGATGCAGAACGAGCTGCCACTGTGATGGAATAATTCTTAGTGCAGCTGCATTCTGCTCCTGCTTGGATGTTTTATCCTGTTGTTACTTTATTTTGCAGATGGTTCCGAGTTTTGGGCCTCCACGATCCAAAGCTTTCTGTCTGCAGGAAGGAGGAGGACCAACCCCTCTGAATTGCTCTGGGGGGTGTGTTTCCCAGGACCTCTTCTTGGCTGGAGCTGAACCTCTAGCAGCAGCCAGGAGCCACAAACTTTTCCTGGGTAACATTTTTAACTCTGCAATTTGCCACCTCTGCCAGACGAGGCCGGCCTGCTGCCCCACCTCCCACTTGGGCTGCTTACTGCAGAGTCAGATCGGCTTGCCAGCGGCTCGGCAAAAGACCTCTGGGTGGATAGAACTGAGTCTGGACCTCTCTCTTTCTGTCTCTCTCTCTCTCTGTCTCTCTCTCTCTCTCTCTGCCTATGCTGGAGGGAAGCATCACAAGGGCAGGCAGGCAGACTTGAATGGCACTGGTGCCAGGGCAGGCGTCAGAGGACTGCGGTCCGCTGGGAATCCATTGCTGCTCGTCCGGGAATCATTTTATTCACTTCATCTTTCTCATCTGTCAGCTTTCTTCTGCAATTTGTTTGTCTTCTTGGGGGCAAACTTGTTTCTGGCTGTTCACCCATCTATGGCCTCTCTGCCAGTGGCTGCTCTGATCTGCTTTCTATAGTTCCTGATCCTGGGCAAGGATGTTAGCAAGCCCAGCTCTGAAGAAAGACAGAGCAGTTCTTCCTTGTTTAATTCTTCACCTCCCTTGCTTCAGCATCTCTCAGCAGTTTGTGGGCCTAGCTCCAAGCGGATAGCGTACACATTCAACTTTCTTGCTACTCAGGCGTGGGCTGAATCAAGGTGCAAAAGGCACGCATTCTTTCGATTTACATGCGATATAGTATGTGATTGTCTGTGTAGAACCTGGGCGATGCATGGGCCACTGGACAGATTTAACATGGCAGACAAGGGGGCTAAGCTGGTGCTTGGGCTGAAGAGGATTTCAGAGCAGCCTTCCTTCTGACTCAAACCCATGGCAAGGGGGCATATCTCAGTGCTTTCTTTCGTTGATGTTCTTAGTGCTTAGCCAGTGGCTTTTGAAGAAGATAAGACTCCAAAGTTAGTAGTTATGCACTGACTTGCATGCTTTGTGGTCCCTCGTGGCAACTTTCTGAAAAAATAAAAGGGGCTGGGTTAGAATTGGAGCCTTCTAGACACCCCTCCATCTTTCTCCCACTGTATTCTTTCCTTTTAACCCTGAATGTGTGTTGGTTGGCTGTGTTTGGACGGGGAAGAAGCACTCTGTGCAGGCTCAAAACACCTTTTTTGGTCTTCTGGGGTGGCAGTGCCCCAACCCTTTTCTACGTGTACAGACACCAACTGGGCAGCGAATACCATAACTGTGAAGCCCACATTTTAAACTGGAGCAGTTTCCAGAAGCGGATTCACCTGCAGACTGAAGTGGCGTTGCGTGTTTGTCAAAGCACTTAAGCAAACAGCAAAACAAAACACCATTCTGTGTATCTGCCTTTTTGGGAAGGAGAAGAAAAGACAGAACTGCTCTCTCCTTAAAAGAAGGCCCTGCGTAATACAGAAGTTCAGTCTGATCCCTGAAAGCTGGAATTGGTTGTGTCCTTGGCTGCTTCCAGGCTGGCTCCAGCCTCCCTCTCTCGGGGCCCCGTCATGCCCTCTCGCAGCGATTCCAGCTACTCACTGACTGCCCGCACGTCCCGTAGCTTCACTCACCTGCGTGTCCAGCGTTCCTGGCTGCAGATCCTGCTCCTCCTCGGTTTCATTCAGATGATCCTGGGTGTTCTGATTGTGACGCTGAGTCTCCTGGTGACCACCAACATGCCTTCTCAGCATCCCATCCGCAGCTCTTGTCCCATCTGGGCTGGCTTTCCGGTGAGTCTCTTGCAGGTCGTAGCTTGATGGACAGGTGGGTAACACGAGAAATGTACCGTATGTCCACTGCATTTATTTGTCTTTCCTCCAGGGAGCCCAGAGTAGAACACATGATCCCCCCTTCTCCTCTCCATTTTATCTTCGCAACAGCCCTGTGAGGTTGGTTAGTTTGAGAATCAGTGATTAGACAACAATTTCCTCAGTGAACTTCATGGCCAAGCCAAGACTAGAACCTGGCTCTCTTAATTCTCACCTTTCCTGCACTCCACATTATTGATTAAGATACGAGATTTTTTTTCCATTTCCTGACACATTTAAAGTAATGTGCTAATGGACATTTTTTAATAGGCTCAACATTGCTTGCTGATTTAATAGATTTCCAGACTGCTGTTTATCCGCTGCTGAAACTAGCAGCCGCTAAAAACAGGACTTTAAAAAATCAGCAATTAAATAAGGAACAGAAAATGCAAAGCTATCCCTTAAAAGCTCCCCCCACCCCAAATAAAAGAGTCTCCACTTCAGAACTGGAGAGACAACAAAATAGACACAAGTTAATCAGAGAATGCCATAATTAAAAGCAGGACCTCTGATGTAAATTGTAACGAATGGTCAGGTACTTACGAGGAATGGTATCCCTCCATGTTCATTACTTGCACTTTGTATTGGATTTCTCTATCTCTTGTCTATCAATCAAATTGGTTCTATGCTGGCCACAGAGGGAAGGAAGCACAACCATTTTCTGCTAACCTAATTGGCAGAAAGTTTTTTTTTAATTCCCCAAGGACAGTATCCTGCATTGCTTTGTTGACCATGTCGAAGGCATCAGAAAATATCAGTCCTTTTTTCTGTCAGCCTCATACTCCAAGTCCATTAGGCCTAGTCCCCTGAAACTTGGCATGCGTGCTAAGGGGGGACCCTAGGAATGTACAAACCCGAGTTTATTTGTTTTTTAAAATGCATGAATGAATGTTCATGAATGTTAGTGCGTCCGTGTGGCTGATTCCTGCAATAACAGTGTCAGCCACTAGGTGGCAGACTTCCTCAACTAGAATATGGCTTTACAGCCCGTGCGGTTTGAAGACAGAAGAGATGAGCTCGCTAAGGGGCGAATGTCATACTCCTATCTCCACCCTCCTGCTGTGGGGCATTTCCCCATCTGGCCAGTTGAGTAGGCAGGCCCCTCCCTTAGGGGGCACACATCCTGGTGGGAGTTGTTCCTACATCTGCCAGTCTATGTGCCTTTACTCAGACAGGGAGGGTACAAGGTGCCCAACTTTGACAGCTGTCTAGGGTTACTTGAAGCCTTCTCTCTGTCAAATAGAGGACGATTCCAACCCATGTGAAACAGGAACCATGTGCTGGCAGGCTCATAAAAAAAGAACCAGGCTAGTACCTTTTCTGGGTTTATTTCGGCTGATTGATTTCTGATTTAGGCCCGTTACTGAGAATAAGCTACCTAGGCAAACATCCTTCCCCATCGTGATATGGACACATTTTAGCCAAAAGGGACACTGTGTGAGGTTCTCTTCCCCCACACCTCAGAGATCATGCTTGACAGCCATGCCTTAATGCAGGGAAGAGGAATGTGTGCTCCACCAAGACTCCAATTCCAATCAGCCCCAGCCAGCATAGCCAGTCGTGGGGAATACTGGCCATTGTGGCCCAGCCACATACGGATGGCCAGGTGGACCCATCCCTGATTTACTCACACTTCCTTATGGGTGCTTTGGAAGTTAAAAACCGTTTTGCCTGGGGAAGGGAGCAGAGAGGAAAAATCCAGTACTTTGTGCAAATGCAGAGCAGAACGCATGTCGCACCAGCACATTGCAATGCCGCCTAGAGAATAGGTGGGACAATGGCTTCATGTAATGCTCCCAGTTTAATTCTGCAACGCAGTCAGGAACAGAAACAGCTAGTCGAACGGCCACGCCTAGAAAAGTTCGTAATCCCTCCCACTCCCCACCCACATAAAGAAGCGGTCTACCTCTGCCAAGGATAAGTAGCAAGTCTTTCAAGCTCTGCTTGTGGGCTAGTTAGGGTGCTGAGCCATGTGGTTCTCTGGTCTAATCCTTGCTCCAGAAATGGCTTGCCTCTGCTCTGCCCTGTCTTCCTTTTGCTCTGCAACAGTTCCTGCTGAATTGAATCGGAAGTGTGTGCTGCCATAAATTAACAGTGCAAAGGGAACTGCCCCACATGTGAGAAGACAGGCTGTGCATGACGACAGACTACCGTAGCATCTGCGCTTCACCATTAGAATTGTGACATGATCCCTGCCACGCAACCCAGAGGATCTCTAGAAAAATCTAGGCAGGGCAGGCTGGAACCTCCTCCACCTGGTTCCCCCCCCCCCCCCGCCCGACAATGCTGGATTGGCAGCTTCTGTGGGCCTTCAGGCAGCAGGGCCAATGTGTGAGGACCTCAGGAGCTGTAGAGCAGAATATCTGGATTCTCCTAGGTTGGAGGAGCCAACCCCTCACTCAAAGTCTGCCTGCTTCTTGGCTTTAAAAGAGTGTTTGCAATGCATTTCCTAAGCGCAAAGCGGTTTACATTAGCAACATTTTGAATTGCATCAAATATAAAAACACGATGATTAATAATTCAGACTGAATGAACTCCATTAAAAAAATCCACAGCCTACCGATAAACACCGCATCCCTTGGGCCGCCATATTCATCTCGGCTGCCAAGCCAGGGCCGTACCAAAGAGGTGAGTTCTGCAACATCTCCCCAAAGCCATCTGGGATAGAGAGATCCTGACCTCACTCAGGAAGTCAGTCCAGAGCTGTTCCCAGCAACCGGCAATTTCCCCTCCCATAAGGAAGGGAGATGGCTTGAGCTAAGATCTGATGACTACAGCAAGTTTGTGCCTATGCCTACTGGCTGGAACTCATGGAAATACGTGTTGTGTGGGTTGGGGCTAGAAAAGTCCCTTTTATTATCACTTCCAGCAGGACTCCCTCGGGGACATGGATCAGCAGCAGTGCATGCTCATTGTTGCAAACACTCTCAGAAGTGGGTGGCTTTGTAAGGGGGAGATGGATACTGCCATGCTGCTCAGGGCCTGCTCTAGGTTTTGCATGGCTCTGGCAAAAGAAGTCCCCAGTGGCTCACCTCCCTCAGTGAGCTGACCTGCTCAGTGCCACGGCCACCAGCCGATCTCGCTCCTTGTCCGTATTGTGGCTTCCGCTTGCGTGCTCGGTGGGCAAAGAGCCAGGGAGCCAGGGAGCCGTGGAATCTCCCCCGCCTCATCGCCGCTGTGGCCTGGGCCAGAGCAAGAGGTGGGTGACTCAGGAGGCCACAATGGGGAAGAGGAGGAGGAGGAGCAAGTCGGAGGTCCTTCCCAGTGGGCCGTGGCTGGGGGGTGAGTCCTTGGCAGGTGCCCTGGCTTACGGGGGCACTAGCCATGACTCTGTGTTGCCTCCACATTGCTGCAGCATTTATGCCCCTGGAGGCGAGTGCCAGTAGAGCTCTGTTGCTCTGTTGCAACTCATCTTCTCCTAGCGGATATCTCACAGCCACCCAGTTGGCCACTGTGGGAGCAGAATATTAGTGTAAACACCATAGCTGCTGTTCTGGTGTTATTAAAGGCTCTGATTCAGGATAGATGAGCCCTGCTTTTCTTCCTCGCATGATGCGTCCTTCGTTTGTCTGTCTGAGCCACAATCCTATGCGTGTTCAGGTGGTCCTACAGCTCCCTGCATTCAGTGGTGCTGGCTAGAGAATGCTAGGAGTTGGAGGACCTGTTTTCTAGCTAAACATGCATAGGATTGTGCCTTTAGGGTGAAACCATTAAGGGTTCCAATGCGCCAGATGTGCTGTTGGGCCCACATTGAGATGGCTTTAGTTTAAAAGGACATTAGGCAAATTGTTGGAGGACAACAGCTATTGGCCGCTGTGGGAAAATGGACCCTTTATGTTCAGAGGTAGTCAACTTCAGAATGCAAGAAGTTGGGAGAAAGATATTGGAGAATGGGTCCTTTGCTTCTGGTTCCTGACTCTGAGCAAAGCAAGCTGCATGTTGGGCTGAAAGCAACAGAATGACGATTCAGTAGGGACAAAAGCCAATTCCTCTACCTAGGAAAAAGAAACCAAATGAATTGATACAAGATGAAGAATATGTGGCTCAACACAACTGAAAAGGGAAAAGACCTTGGAGTAATTGTGGACAACAGGATAAATATGAGCCAACAATGCGATGCAGCCGCCAAAAGGGCAAATGCTATTTTGGGATGCATTAATAGAAGTATAGAGAGGCTGAGAGAACTGGGCATGTTCAGCCTTGAGAAGAGAAAGCTGAGTGGGGACATGATATCCTTCTATAAGTACCTTAAAGGCTGTCACAAAGAGGAAAGAAAAGATCTCTTCTCTCTGATTCCAGAGTGTAAGTCATGCAATAATCAACTCAAGTTGTAGCAACCCAGATTCAGGCTAGATAATAGGAAAAGTTTCCTCACTGTCAGAGCGATGGGGCAGTGGAACCAGCTGCCCGGAGAGGTGGTGGGCTCTCCCACACTAGAGACATTCACGAAGAAACTGGACAATCATCTGAGTGCGATAGTGTGAATTTGTGTCCTGCAGCAGCAGCGGGTTGTACCTGATGACCTTTGTGGTCCCTTCCAGCTCCACTATTCTATAATTCAAACTTTTGGTCCGACCCAGCAGGATATAAATGAGCTAATGGCTTTGCAGGAGCTGGGCAAAGTTTTATACAGGTGTGCATTCAAGCAAAGGTAGACAGCTGTCAGGGCTGGGCGTCTTCTGCCTGCCCTGTCGGAGGATAGCCACGCCCCTTCGCATGCCATGGCACGGCCCCTGACATGGTGCGCCTTCCGCCCCCAGGAGTGCCCTGTCTACTATAATCTCTTGAGGTGTGGGGAGGCGACCCACATAAGGGGGAGGATGTGGGTGCATAGCTGGTCCTTCGGCCTACTAATCTCCCCAGCTTCGGATTGCGTTGATTGCAAAGCTGTGCACTGGTTAGGGAGGTCAGCCCTGCCTTACAGAAGAGGCTATGTATACTTCAAGCATGTTGATATGCTAGAATTAATTTACTTTGAAAGCAAAATAATACTGAGGTGTTGCATGTTTTGCTTGTCTCAGTTCCACAGCTGTGGTCCTATGGATGATACTTACGGGCAGGCAGATGGGCACGCATCCTCTTATTAAACGGATATGTTCATGAAAAGCGCCATCTTTCCCAAGTAAAACAGGGGCAATGATTTCCCAGAGACAAGGAGAAGTGATTTGAGATTGTCTCTGAGAAAGAGAGGCCATCTGTGAGATGTCTGAGGCTAGAAGGACTTTTCACTCCTGTTTTCCTGACCAGGCTCTGAGAAGCTTTCTGACCCACCTCCAGCGCAGAGGGGAGCCGTGAGGGATGGGTGAAAGCAAATGACAAGGCTTGCAAGTCATAGGCCTTCTGTAGTGCCGACACTTGCCAACCTCCCTTTCTGTGTGTGTCTGTCTCTAGCTGGCATTCTCCGGAGTGGTTGGCATCGTTTCCTGGAGGCGCCCGTTCACCCCTGTGGTAAGTGCCGATGCTTCATTTGCACACAGGCGAGCACCAGGAGGCCGGCCTCTCTGCACCGGTGCCAAATATGCAACTCCTCTTCCTTTTGTTTTTAAATGGTTCGCAAGCAGCTCCAGACTTTCTGGAGCCATCACATGCCCCAGTGTCTCCCTCAGAGTTAGATCTGAAGGGTATTTCCTCTGAGTGAAGTTTTCAGGGCTCTAGAGATTGCCTGCACTGCACAGTTCGATACCTCGTTGCCACCTCCCACAGCCTCTGCTGCCCGAAGCAGCTGCCTCAGCCTGCCAAATGACAGGACCAGCCATGCCGCCTAGAAGGGCAGCATCTGGGACGGACAGATCTCTTGGCAGCAAAGCCTTCCATGAAGCTGGCACAACCAGAGAAAAGTTTCAAGATCCTCAGACTGCTTGTTTTGCTTTGTGATGCTGGGGGGTTCTAAAGCTGTATCTCAAATGGCAATCAAGGCATGTAAAAATGTGCTTATTAAGGTACCCAGGTCCTTAATCCCAAGCCATTTGGGCTTTAAAGGCTAATATCACCACTTTTCCCCTCCTGCATGCACACCTTAATATGATGATGGGCTTTGAGCATGTCAGTGAAGCCAAGAACAATTCCACCAGGAGGCCGGACTCCCTCAGTAGGTTGGTATCCTAGCAGGGTCACTGGAGGCAGCATGGTCAAAGCTAAGATGTATCTACCCTCTTCTGGTTTAACATTGACACCCACAACAAAGAATGGATTTCTCTAACAGTGATGTGGCAAAGAAACTCCTGAAGGGCAGCTGCTGGGCAGCAATAGTGGTTGAAAGTAATCCTGGTGCAGGATCTTTTCATGGGCAACAGGAATGAAGCTCAAACTAGCTGGTTCGTACTGTGCAGAAGAAGGCAATGGCAACCCACTTCTGAATCCTCTTGCCTTGTAAACTCTATGATGAAATGATCCAAAATGAATCCAGATATTGTGCTAGAGATGGAAGAAACTCAGCCAGTCAGTGGGAAAGAGCAAAGTGCTTTTGCTGATGAAACAACCAAATCAAATCCTAAAGGAAGTCTAGTGACTGACATGTACAGAAGTGAAAGGGAAGTTTGATGCTGCACAACACATACAATTGGAACATGGAACATGAGAATCAAAGCAAACTGGAAATGGTAAAGCAAGGAGTGGAATGCTTAAACATTGCAGTACTTGCTGTAAGCAGAGTAAAATGAACTGGAATAGGACATTTTCACACAAAGTGTGTTACTCTGGAAATGACACACTCGGGAAAGGTGAGGCAAGATAGAGCACAAGCAGTAAGGGGCAACGATGCAAAGTCGTGGAAAACCAATCAACAGAGCTATCGTCCAAACCTGCATTTCAACAGCAGATGCCAGAGGAGAAATTGAAAACTTCTATTCCGGCATCCAGAAGGAGATGAGTAGCACACCAAGACATGCTGATAATCATAGGCAATTGGAACGGACAAACAGAAGACAAAGCAGAATCCAACATTGTGGGATACTTTGGTCTAAGGGTAAGAAACAATGCAGGGGAATGACTCATAGAATTTTGTGATGCCAACAATCTGTTTATCATAAATGCATAGTTCAAGCAACTGATCAGATGACTCCACACATGGATATCACCAGATGGCCAATATAGAAAAAATAGCTCACATAATTGGAAGTGAAGTTGGATAAACTGTATTCTGGTTTCCAAAACAAGACCAGGAGCAGATTGTGGTAGTGACCATGATCTACTAATATAAAAAAAAACCAGAGAGAAGTTGGAAAAAGATGACTAACTGAAGCATAGTGCCAGAAAGCAACTTAACATTCCTGAGGAATTAGAGTCTACATAAAAATTGGATTTTCATTACAGAACACAGCTGAGCATGGACCAGAAGAACCATGAACTGAAACCAGAGATGTTACTAGGGAAAGATGCAGAAAGACATTTTCTATAGCAAAAAGGGGGAATCCCTAGATAGATCATGAATGAAACTCACAATTGCTTAGCGCAGGTGATAAGCAAAAGGTGACAGAAATAGGGTCAGATTCCTGAAGGCAACTTTTCATGAGGAAGAACTTACAATATTAGACTTCCTACATGCCAGATGCCTATTCCAGGGTTCAAACAAGAAACCAGTTTCTAACCAGAGTGCTGCAGGGGAGCACTCTGGAAAAGAATAAATGCTGCAGAAGCTGCCCACTCCGAAGCCGCCACCTTAGCAGAGCATCCCCTCCACAGGTTTGCTCTTCATGTGGCAATTAGGTGTCAGTGAAAGCTTTTAAAAAAGACCTAATTGCTTTGCTGGGGTGTTTGAAGGTGCGACTGGATGGGGGAAGGAAGCTGAGGGAGAAAAGAAAACAGAGAAAGAAAAAGAGGAGGGGAGAAGAGAGAAAGTGAGGAGGCCAAGGGGGAGAGGAGGGAGGGAGGGAGGGCAGGCAAGGAAGGGGAGAAAGGAGGCCAGGGGAGGAGAGGAAAGAGAGAGACAGCTCATGGGGAAGAGGAGGGAAAGGGAGAAGGAGGGGGATGATAAATGGGGATAAGCAAATGTCAGCATAAACAGCTTGTGATGGTCAAGAGGATGTGCAATTGTAGGGGCTGCTACTGCTCGGCCCCTGCTGGGATATGGGTCTGTGGCAGATGCTCAGTCTGGCCGAGCCTTGGCAGCAGCTTTGAGTGTGCGTGCACACAAGATAGAATGGGAGAATGTGTGCATGCATCTGGAGCTACTCATGGCTGGCCTGCTGCCTGGGTGCAGAGGGAACCTGCCATCTGGTTGCACCTCTTCCTTAGAGTTTTAACTCCTCTTCTCTCCCTCCCTCCCTCCCTCTCTCTTTCTCCACTGCTGCATTCCCAGATTACCTTCTTCACACTTCTCTCGGTGCTAGGAGTCATGCTCAGCTTGGCCGGTTCCATTCTCTCCTGCCAGTACGCCCAGCAGATGAAGTCCCTGGAGGCTTGTGAGCGGCTGAGGCAACGGGATGGTTCTTCGGACTGGAAGGAGCAGGGGTGGCGGCGCAGCCTGAGAGCCCAGGTGGGGGTTTCTTAGCGCAGAGACACATGTGCCTCTTATGCACATAAGGTTGGCAGCAGGGGAGAGCCGGGGCTCCTGTGTCAGTGAGGCCTCTTATCCATGGCAGCTCTTCTTTTGAGCTTTATCAGCACTGTCCGCGGTGCTGAGCTCCATAGGTCCTAAATGCTACCAAGCAATTGTCAGTCGGGGGTCTGTGGAAGGAGGCATGGCTTTCAGGGAAACAGCAGGGGGCTGTTTGTGATCCCAGGTGGGCAGGTCATGGCACATGGACTTCAGGTTCAGCTGTGGTGACTTGGGGTTGTGTGAAGGGCTTCACAAATGGAGGGAGGGTTGGAAGAAGGGTAAGGGGGGAATCATCAGAAAGGATGCTCCAGGAGGCGATGGTGCAGTGCAATTGTTAACAGCAGTGCAAAAACACACCTTTCCTGCCTCTTTTGCAGTTCAACTCTCCATACAAGAAGTGTGTTTACGCCTCCTCAGAACCCGGATTTCCTGCCTGTGGAAATAATTCAGAGCCAAATTCAAATTGTTCCAGAGTGCTCCTTGTTCTTAAGGTGAGTAGACAGCAGAGGTTTTAATGCAGACAAGTCTATTGGTAGATATAAGTGTTGCCTTTAAAGAGAAACACCTCTTTCAGTTCTGCCTTTTCCAACATTCAGATCTTTTAAATCTTGAGTTATCATTTATAAGGGCATTTTCAAATTTTGGTATTTGCATTGGGGGAGCAATATTAAGAGATTTCAGAACTGCATACTTCTGCTGTAAAACAGAAGGAAAACACAACAGGTCAATGTGCAGGGAAACTTCTAGCTGCACACATTTTTGGAAAAAAAGTATTTGCAGTGAATGAAAAGAAAGGAAAGGTAAGTACTGGTATATACCAAATATGAGATGTGAGCAGAAGAAAATATTTTAAAATCTGTAACATTTTCTGCAGGCGTTCTGAAATTCCTCATGCAGGATAAAGTGGAAAATTAACTAACCACCAGTTAATGCTGGACGTTTCCCATCTAGAACCATCCTTCTCTTCCATATGTTGATATATATGGGCAAGAAGAATAGAAAAAGCAGGCAGTAGCTCTAAATGCCCATGAAATGCAAGAGTTACAGCTTGTGAATAAAACTTGGAAGATTTGGCTGACACACAAGTGATGATGGTTGTGAACAATGGCTGGGCTTAATATAGTCTGGAGGGTGTGGAAATGCCACATCTTTTGTATCAGCCCAGAATCTGGTGTGCAAAGCATTTTATAATGCTTTTGATATCTATCCAAAACAAAATCAGTTGGTGCCCCTATGAATCCCTTGAGCAACTGAAGACACAGGTGGGATCTGCCATAAAATCTTGCAATATAATTTTCAGGTCTCCAGCCACCCTGACCATTCTTCTACCCCAATTTCTTTCTTTCTTTCTTTCTTTCTTTCTTTCTTTCTTTCTTTCTTTCTTTCTTCTGCCTATTCTGTGGCATTGGGCATGTTCCATTCCCATTGGGCTCTTAAGGGGAAGTATTTCTCCCCTTATGATTCTCCTGCCATTTTTTAATTCTTTTGCTCTTCCACAACCCCTGTCTTGTGCCGGTTGGGCTGCAAAAGAAAAGCACTTACAGTCCAAAGGCTGGAAATAGAAGGGATCATTTAGGTGCTGTTTTCAGACCTCACAAGGCCGAAAATACTTATGCACATCACGAGATGGCTGTAAAATGAAAATTCAGATGTCAATAAAAATCAGAAATAACTGTAATGCAGGGACTCCTGCATCATTAGAGATGTACAGAAAAGGCCCAGAGCTTTTTGGTTTCCCCACTTACAACTCTGTTAATCTCCTGGCCCATATCTGGCAGGCCAAGGAAGAATGTCTCGTGGGCTCTATTCCATGGAAGCTCCTGCCCAATAAATCAATAAGGGTGTGAGCTTTGTTGCTGATCGAGATCGAATGTGTATGTGTCTCCAAGGGCTAAACTGCCCACTATATTAAATGTGTTGGGCATACCTGAGCCTAGCTTTCTTTTTTACTTTTGTGTACATGTGTGGACTTCAATATGGAGTGGAATAACCACATGTGTAGCAAAGGTTAAACCTTCCCACCCAACTGTTTTCTCCAGATAAATCATAGAAACACAGAAACAGAGCAAGTCAGAAGGGGCCTCCCAGGCCATCTAGTCTGACTCCTGGTTCCAGCCTCAACCACCCCCTGTGGAAGCCCATTCCACACCCTCGGGGTCCTAACTGCCAGGAAGCACTTCCTGGCATCCAAATTGAACCTGGGTTCCTTGAGCTTGGCTCCATTGCCCTCCTCTGCAGGGGAGAACAGGTCTCTACCTAGTCCCTGCAGGGGCTAAAATCCTATCCCTGCAAGAGCTAAAAACATAAACAGAGAGAGAAAATAAATCTACTAGAACTGATGAGGGTTTCCCCACTTCATCCCCCTGAATAGGATGTGAATTTAGGGCGTGGAAAAGTGACTGAATGAGAAGGTTTCTTTCCCCAGATCAGCGCAGATCCCCAGCCTGGATCAGGCCACATTCCCTCACACTAATGTAAACAAAAAGTTAGCCACATATTTAACACAGTGCATAGCTTAGTCCCGAGTGGCTGGATGATGGCTTGCATCTCACTCCCAGCTTTGCTTCTCAAAGGGCTGGCAGCCTGGGTCAACGGTATCAGCCAGCAGTAGGATTGAACCTGGGACCTTCCGCATGCAAAGCAAATCCTCTCTACCACTGACCTAGCCCCTTTCCCTACAAATAAAGATGCTAGTCCTCATTGTTCCCAAGAAAGGGCTGATGTAAATAGAAACATAGGAAGCCACCCTTATACTGAGTCAGATGGTCTGTCTCGCCCAGTAGCGTCTGTGCTGACTGGCAGCAGCAGCTCTGCAGGATTTCAGGTGGGAGTTTTTCCAGCTCTACCCGGAGACTGGGGTCTGCATGAGGGGACCACTGCATGCAGAGCAGGTGCTTCCCTTCCTAACAGCTACCCGTTTCCCTTCTCTCCCCCCCCCCCCTCCTGCACAGGACCTGCTCTTCAGTGTCTGTGGCCTGACCATTTTTGCCATCGTGGTGTGCACCCTTTCTGCCATCATGTGCTGCATACAGATCTTTTCTTTGGATGTCCTCCATGCGGTGAGTTGCACTCATCAGTGCGCAGTCCGTCGCTCATGCCAGGTCAGCTCAGAAATGACCTGAGCCCTTTTTCCTTGTGGAGGGAGAATTCTGACTTGCTGTGTCTCTGTCCCTGTTGCTAGCTCTCCCCTCCACGTTCCAGCTCCGTGACGTTGGACTGCACCTCTCCGCCAGACACGTTCTTGCATCATATGCTGGACCTGGACGAGTTCGTTCCGCCAGTGCCACCGCCACCATATTACCCACCGGAGTACACCTGCAGCTCGGAGACCGATGCCCAGAGGTGCCACAGCTGGAGAGGCAGGGCTGGGGGAGATATAAGAGGAGGAACCCAAAGGGGAGGAAGGTTGCAGGGGGCACAGCGGTGGGCAGGAGCAGAAAGGACCCCTGGAAGCCCCATGGCACTCTCAAAATTAGCAGAACCAGTAACTGTGTCCAGGGTTTGAGTATGGGTTCTCATTGAAGCATTGTTCTTGTGGAAATGTGGGTTGTCATGTACTCCGAACCCAACTGAGATAACAAGCTATGATGGACAACCCACAGTTCCCGGCCAAACAACAAACCATGGACATTTTTTGCGGGCTATTTGTGGTTAAGAAACCATGGCTGGTTAGCACATTTCATATCGGACAACACACATTCAAAACTGACCCACACTTAGGTTGTCTTTATCCAGTCAATGCAACCTAAAGCTGTGTTGGTGAAGGGATCAGTCTGTCTTTAAAGTTCTGCAAGAATTCTACTTGGTTTCTGCGATAACAGACTCAGGGCAGCCCCCATGTCAGAACTGGAAGCCATGGGGCAGTTTCATTTCTCAGGGAGAAGTCTGCCAACTAACTGGGTGTGTGTGGATATGGAAGGGTTGGTCTGCCTCTCTGCCTTGAACAGTTTCTTGACTTGTGTGTCAGTAGCAGAAGCATTTCGCAGTGCACAGATCAGCAACCATGAGCGCCTGCTTGTGCTCGTGTGAGGCCTGCCATTGCTCAAGGCATAGGAGCAGAGGCCTATAGCAAAAGTTGGCAGTCACAGTTGGGAACGAGGTGATGTGGGGAGGGGGCTTCAGAAGCTGGCAAGGTCTGAGAGTGTCTGAGGTTCTCCCTCAAATCCTGGAGATGCCATGTGGGAACTGAGGTGGGGAAATGTGCTTCATGGATAACACCATTGTTTTTATCTGCCAGCATTACCTACAACGGCTCCATGGACAGCCCTGTGCCTCTGTACCCCACAGACTTCCCTCCGAGTTATGAGGCCGTCATGGGGCTCCACGGGGACAGCCAGGTATAATGGGCGGGGGGACGGGCGACATCTTAATTGCAATGGGATCCAAAGTGTGGGAAGTGATGGGAGCAGAGCTGTAACAATCAGTGTATGGACAGAATACCTTAGAGCGATTTCAGAGCGTCCCTTCGTCCCTAAGGCCACCACCTTTGGAAGGTGGAAGGCAGAAGGTGGAAAGTGGGAAATAAGGTGGAAAATGAGCCTATGTTTTCTTCTGGCTTCATTTCTTCTCAATCTGGCAGTCCATCTCCAGTGAATTGGTTTGTATTAGCCACGTGCAACTAATTCCACATACAGAACATACATGTGTACATTGATGGGCAGCTTCATGTTCAGAGATCTGGGCACATTCACAGAAGAGAGCTCTGTGGGCATGCTTAGCCACAAGAGCGAAGTAGAACTTCCATGTGCAAGGAGAGTCTACATCTGAATATCAAATACCACAGGGAGGGTGCCTGCTTTTCTGTCCTGGCTGTGGTATTAGGGGGACACCTGGCTGACCACCATGGGAAGCAGATTGCTGGATTAGCTGGGCCCTGTATAGCAGAGCTGCAGAGCCTCAGGCCTGGGGACCCAATCCAGCCCACAACGGTCCCAACTGAACCCTCTGGGATTTCCCCCAAGGGCTGTACCCCTTTTCCTTGCGCCCTATTCCCTGGTGGTTCACAGACTGCTCTGTGGTCTCCTGACTTCAGTGCAGTCTTGGTTCCATTCTGGAGGAGTTTTAAAGGCTTGGTTCTGGCCAGTAAGAGCTATAAGCTACAGTATGGGTATTTTTGGTACACTCTCCTGCAAAAGCTTCCCCAAAACAGAATTCAGCCCTTGGGCTGCAAGTGTTTCAGCACCCCTGTGTTACGGATTTGAAAAATCCATGCACTTAGCAGTGGCTATCAGCTCTGACAATTCGAAGGACCCTCCACAGACAAAGGCAGTGTACCTCTGAATAACAGAAGCGGAGGGTAACATCAGAGCGGGCGGGGGGGTGGCTGTTGGCTTTCCTGGGTGCTTTGGGGGTGCTGCAGGAGGACAGGGTAGCTTTACCAGCTCCCCCAAGCACCACTGGCTAGGATGGATGCTACCGGCTGAAAAGCTGGGCTGCTGGGGACACTGGCTGGGCTGCATGCCACTCAAAGAGCTGCTGAGGGCCACACTCGGTTTGCAAGCCCTGGCTTGCCTGTCCTTGCACACTGTCCTCTGCCTCTGCTCTGCAGGTGACGCTGTTTGACTCGCAGTTCACAGACACCTCCCACGGCCCTTGCTCCTGCAACCAAGTCCCCTCTGTCGTGCTTAGTGGTGAAGGTAAGGAGAGCTGGTATCCCTGGGTGAAGCACCTGTGCAGCGAGGACTGTTTGCTGGCCGAATCCTGGTTTGGCTGCACAAGGGCAGGACTCCCCAGCAAAGCATAGGACAGGTGCTTGAGCGCTAGGTTCTCTGTGTCTGAACCTCATGCAGCTATCAAAGGAGCCGGGAAGCAGGTGCTGGGGCTTGTGGGACCAAGCCAGGAAGCAGAGTGGGCAGGACTGCTGTTCCAGCAAAGTCTCAGCGAAATAGGTCACATCTTCTGGCCCTTCCTGTTGAGTAGGCCCTGCTGTGAATACTTCGCCAGCCAGCCAGGATGATAGGAAACTGCCTCATCCTGATACCAGGAGCTGCATCTTGGGCAAGCTGCTTGTACAAGCCCTCTTTGGGGATGGTTCAGGGACCGAACCTGAGGGGAGAGGCAGTGCTGTATGTACTCTGCCTCCTCCCCCTTTGGCTTCCAAAGCCAAAAACAGCACTTCAAATCCAGCTTTGATTGCAGGGTGGAGAACCATTGTGGCCAAAGGCTGGGGTGCCAGGGAGTGAGGCGTGGACATACACCCATGCAGCAAACTCATTCCTATCTCATTCTCCCACTGCTCTCTCTCTCTCTCTTTTACATGCACACACAACACACACACCCACACACACGTTTCGTTATCTTTTAACTCCGCTTGGACTGAACAGCACTTCAAAGAAGAGAAAACTTCGCACACCGGGCCACTCTCTGGAAAGAACACCCCCTGTTGCCATGTGAAGCAGACCACACAGCCTGGAGAGCTCCCCAGCCAGATAATTTTGTTGATTTATTCCCACTTACTTGTAGCCCACCAGTTACAGACTGAGTTCAGGGAGCAGAGGTGGGATTCGAGGAGGGGGCTTCAGCTTCACATTACGCCCTTAGCATCTCCACCAGGCCTGGTCTTGCCTTGCCACCTGCTGCAGTCCCATGCCTCTCGTCCTGATGGCCTGTCTCTTTCTCCCCCACAGCAGCTTCCATGGACAGTGGCTCTCTAGTGATGTCGGAAATCGTGGACATCCCGGGGGACAGCAGCCCATCTGAGGACTCGTGCCTGCTGGACGTGAGCGGCTCCGCGTGCTCGGTGGACTACGTGCTGTTCCGCTCCATCCAGCGTAGCCGGGCGGACTACTGCCTGAGCGTGGACTGTGGCCAGTGTGGCCTGCACCCTCAGGGCCCCTTTGAGGAGACGCCTCAGGTGCGCCACCGTGGGGAGCGCTCCTACTCCTGCTCGACGCCTGGCACAGGTTACGAGGGCTTGCTGGAGGCATGCAGTGCCCATACTCACAGCTGCCACCGCCTCGAAGGTCTCGGCCACAGCATAGGCCCCTGCTTCCCCGAGGTGCGTGTCAAAGCCAAGACCTCTGTGCCGGGACGCAAAGGGCCAGGGCGGCGGCAGCGCCGAAGCAGTGAAGCCTCTTGCCGCCTGCCCTCCATCCAGTGCCCCCTGCTGCGTTCTCACAGCGACCCCGGGATCAGCATGACCAACGATGCTGGTGAGTGGCGCAGCGAGCCAGAGATGAAAGCGGACATTTGCCTGTCTTGGAACAACCAGTATGGCTGTGTTGCTTTTGCCCTAATTTGGATAGTAGAATGGAAACTGGCTAGAGGAGCATAAACCATAGAGCAAGAATGGGCAACTGGCAGCCTTCAGGCCAAATCCGCTGTGTGGATATATCTGGCCCCCAGGAGACTGTTCCTTAAGACTCTTTCATAGCCACAAAGCAGAGGTCAAAAGAAAATGTCAGACGGGAGCTCAGGGAGAATTGTGGGTGCCATCAAGAGCTGTAGGATGGGAATCCAGGGGCCCCTGGGACACAGTTCAGTGGGGGGTTATTTTACAGTTTTAAAATCTGTCCTACCTTTCCACTGCTGTGGTTCATCAGAGCATTAACAGTTCCCTTTAAAAATAATGTATAATACCGCCTCTTGATGTATTTCATTTTGGGCCAGGAGCTGTATTTTACCAGCCCAGTCAGGAAGATTCTCTATGTGGGCATGTGAATGGAGCTTCTGTCTAGGAGAGGATGCCTGGGAAGAGGGCTTGCCCACAGTAAAAGGGTGCCAGACCCATCCCAGTCCCACGGCCAAGTCAATTTCAGAGAAGCTTTTGGATGCTACCACATTCCAGGGATGAGCAGGGTCGAAGGTACAGTGTGTGTGGCGGAAAAATGGTGGCTTAAAGCTCTTACTGCCAGTAACAAAGCTTTAGGGAGAGGCATGCCATCTTTTTAAGGTGGGGAAACAACTGTATTGCCACACAATTGGGAAAATGGGGGCAGCCCCTGGGCCTGAGGGTCTCTACCCTGGCTTATGGCAAGAGAATAGGTACAGTCCTGTAAATGCAAACTACAAAGAAAGCTGATGTGTACAGACTGGCCCATTAGTTGTCACCCTCCTGCCTTTCCCAACTTGATGTGGCGGTTGGGGTGTGGCGCCCATAACTTTTGTAGGATGCGAGTTTGGGCAGAGTTGGTCTTCACAGTTTCAGGCCTGGGAGGTGTTTCCCAGCCCATCCTAGAGATCCTGGAGGATTTGAACCAGGGACCTGCTGCATGTTCTGCATTCCTGCACTATGAATTTGCCTGCACTTTGATTCTTTCCCTCTTCTTTTCATTGCCACTCACCCCACAGAAGGTGATTTCCAGGAAGTATTCTGCACCAAAGCATCAGAGGATGAAGGATCCAACTCCTCAACAGATGCAGGTGAGGGAGTAGCTGTGTAGGTAGTATTAGGGGAGTTTGTAAAGAATTACAGCAAATTATGAGCTCACTCACTCATTAAATTCACTCACTGCCCCAGAGCCAGAGCTCAAACTTACTCATTGCTGTCACAGAATAAGTTACATTATTTTAAATATGAGTCAGGAGATGTCATCAGTTGTGAGCTGATTTCAGCTTTTGACGAAATGGCAAAGGCACAAGCTGCCTTCCAGTGACCATTAGGAATACAGAATGTTTCCTAATGCTGAATCAAACCATTAGAACTGTATAGTTTGGCGTTGTTGACAGAGATAACTCTCCAGGGCATCAGGCGGGGGTGTCTTCTTCAGGTCTGGAGATGCCAGACATCAAGCTCCAGCGCTTCCTCTTCTGATGTCCCTGTTAGGGGCAAATCCCACACTTCTGTCCCTGAACATCTCCTTCATTTTGTCTCTTCCCAGGGCCATATTCAGAGGCTGGTATTTTGCACCCATCACTCCGTGGGCCGCCCTCTCAGTGTCAATTGGCAGGGAAGACCAAGCTGGAAGTGCCACAGAAGGTACCCCAGCATCTGTCCAAGACAACCACACGCTCCCTGGGGGATCTGAAGGTGTGCCGCGGGACACGTGGGCTCATGGCCCGTTTTCTGCACAGATCCAAACGCAGCCTGGTTTTGGCAGGAGTAGAAACGGCTGGGCGCAGCGGCACCCGTGGCCGCAAGCAGGTACAAATCATTGTAATTTCCCATCGGCTTGTGTGAATGTTCAGATGCCTCTTCCCCACTCACCCCCACCGCACCCACAGCGTTGTTTAATGCAAGAAGGGAACCACAATCACTGGTGCTGAAATTGCAGCGATAGCAATGCATGTGCAGACTAACGCATGCAAAAAAGACAACCTCTCTCAAGGGGATTGATCTCATCTCTGCAGGATGGAAGAAGTGTGTGTGTGTGGAAACACGATATTGTGCTAGAATGCTAAGAAGGGAGAGTAGAGCGGGGCCTTGACGTTGCACAGCTGCCGCTAGCAGCATCGGGTCAGCAAACTAGGCAGGCAGTCTCATGGCTCACTTAGTCCCAGACTTATTGCCCACTTTGGTGAAATATTTTTCTGTTTAACTCCTAATTTGATCAATTTGCATTTCCGTATAATCCCTCGGAGCAAATCTATGTTCTCTTCTGCCCTTGTTTGGGGTGGAGAGGCGTGATGCTTTTCCTATTTTTGGTTGCAGAAGTGACCATCCCATACAGAAGGGAATCGGTTTGCAGCTTTCTTCCTTGCCATGAAGGTCTACTCTTTCTGCCTGCTTGCTGTGTTAAAGGGTCTTCTTCAAGCTTGACTGAGCTTTAAAACCCATCACGGTTCCTCCACCTTGCCTCCCAGAGTCGTGCGTCAGGCAGCTGTGTGTCCCCTTTTAGACAGGGTAGGCCTCTATTTGAGGGAGGCGGCATTCTCTGTTTGACGGACTGATCTGTGACATTTGGGTTTAAAGAGAAATGCTGCATTTACAGTTAGCACCTGGATAGCAAGCCGGTGAACACATGGACCACCTGCTTTAGTGACATAATTATTTCTCTGCTTGCATATAAATTAGCATATGGAAATTGGTGCCCTCCTTTTTGGTGATGCATTTCTTCCTTTTCTGGCAATTCTTGAGTGACCACTCTATTAAGCCAAGACAGGAGCTGAGTTGAAAACTTGATGCAGACAGATAACATCATGTGGAATTGGAAAGGATTGAGGGGAGCACCAGAAGCTGTGGGCCCAGGAAGGTCAAGATGGTGACAGGGAGGGTGAGAATCACACATATTCTAACAAATCTGGTAGGACTTTGGCCACAGGTCTCTGGGTTTTTAAGAATATTTCTAGGCTGTATGAGGTGTACAGATTATATGTGGTGTGAAGAAATTTTATAGTGAGCCAATTTTCTTGCTTTTTCATCATACCATGTATAGAAATGTTTAATATTGTTGTTATTAATAATACCACCACCACCAGGACTCAGAGGTATCACCATCCATGAAGCTGATTGTTGCGAGAGTTCAGGATGGAGTTAATTTCCATGAGATGTAGTTACGGTCCCCAGTCCGGATGGCATTAAAATGGGACTGGATAAATGCATGAAGGAGAAGGCTACCAATGCCCGCTAGTCTTGATGGCCATGTGTGACCTCTGGCATCAGAGGCACTAGTCTCTGGGGGACATGGACAGAGGGTGCTGTCACACGCACACCCGTCTTGTGGGTATCCTATGCACAGCAAGACCCTAGATCAGTGATGGCGAACCTTTGAGAGACCGAGTGCCTAAACTGCAACACAAAACCCACTGATTTATCACAAATGCCAACATTGCAATAAAACCTGAAAACTGGGGTTTTAGTTTAGAAAAAACAACTTGCAGCCAGTCCGAGCAAATATGGACTTCGGCTTCGGCGAATGGGGCAGCATAAAAATGTTTTAATAAATAAAATAAATATGTATATATCCTTGGCAGCGCACTGACTGACCATGCGAGAGCTCAGACGAGTCGCAGCTCGTGACGTCAGTGCCTGGTGCCGCTACTCCTTTCCGAGTGTGCGCATGGCCCCTATGTGCGCTGTTATCCGATGCTCGGCTGCTGGGGCGATGCTGGGGCGGCTTGGCTCCGTGCCGACAGAGAGGGCTCTGCATGCCCGCTGCGGCACGCGTGCCATAGGTTCGCCACCACTGCCCTAGATAGACACTGGGTTGCATCCAGCAGGGCTGTTTTTCTGTGCTGATGCGTGTGTATTTAATATGAAATAAATCCAGGAAATAGTCTATGATAAATAGTTGTGACCCACTCAGAAAGTTTTGCTGTGAAACCTCTTAGAAACCAAGTCACAAAGCTCTTAGGTTGTGTATCAATAACATGAATAACAAAAATAATTGTAAAACCGCATGTAACAAACAGGGCCTCTCTGCTCCTTAGGAGGAAGAGTCAGTGGTTGGTTGGAGGTTGCAGCAGCAACAGCAAAGCGTTGGTGGGGGAGAGGTGTGTGCTGAGCCAGCTCCCCTGCACCCCTAAGCGAGCCTGCTGCCTTCAGGTGCAGTGGAAGTCACTATCCCATCACTAGTAGCGAACACTGGTGATAACAGCAGCCAGTCCTGGTCAGCTTTTGTACACGGAATTGAAAGAGGACTCCTCCTCCTCCTCCTCCTCATTCCTCTTCTTAGGAAGCAAAATGTCTTGGCCCTGGCAGAGTGGGTGAGAAGAGAGCACCAGAAAAAAGGGCAGCTGGAAATTAATCTCACAATCATGATGGCAAGGACCAAAAATATCCTCCCCTTTTGACAGGCTCCTTCTCCTGCTGGCTGGATCTCATAAAAAGTTCCCAGCCCTTAGATAGCAACTTAATTGTGCTGGTTAATGAGGGTTTCCATAGCCTAATTGCTTGAACCCTTGGGAAAGAGACACTGACACATCCATGACACTGGATGACAAAGAACTGTAACTGGTTTGCACTGGGGTTTTGCAATGAATCCTTTCTTGCAGAAATCCAGAGCAGGTTGCCTCAGAGTGGAGCACCTCTCACACATCTTTTCCTGCAATTATTTTCTAAAAGGCTCTTCTTGTAGAACCCATTTGATTATTGTGCTTTGGACAGAGCTCAGAAATGGACCAGGAGTCAATGCAGTTATCAGAGTGACCTAGCCACACATAGTTGCTTGAACCAGAATGGGGAAACTTCTCAGTCGGACTCTCGTGAGTTCCCCCGGTAACCACAGATTCCCTTTCCTTCAACTGCCAAACATCTTGTGCATCTTCAGCGCAGCTCCTCCTCATTCCATCAGGTTGAAATGCCCACCCAGAAGCTCCCCCACCGGCGGTAAGAGCTTTCGGTTAAAATACACTGGTATTTGTTTCCTCATTTTTGCCCCACCCCTTTGCCTCTGGCCCCTTTACTTTTGGCCCCAGCCACCCCTGCAATGCATCCCCTTTAAATTTTCTCAGCCCACAGACTGAACAAGGTTCTTCACCCTGCCCTAAATGGTCTGGGACCCAAATGCCAGAAGGAACACCACTTGCTGAATCCACCCTGCCCCTGTCTAAAGATCATGCAGCTTATCAAGGGGTTGTCTACTCCCATGAAGTGACGGCTGGGGAAAGAACCTGAGGCACTGCCGCTTGTTGAACAGCTTCCCCGTGGAGATGTGACTGACGCCAGCCTTCAAGTGAAAACTTTTCTGTTTGCTGGGGCATTACAAGATGATCAGTTTAGGGTTTTAAGTACCAATGACTAGAAAGAGTACACAGTAGAAATCTGGATGGCTGGAATGACACTGAAATGAAGGAAGGGAAGGCAGATGAAGAGCAGAATATGAACATCCATTGTCCTAGATTAATTTGGACTTGCAAGGCAGATGTGGGAAATGCAAAGCTGTGGTCTGAATGTCAGGTGTGGAGAAGCCTGGAGCCTGTACAACATCTTATGCAACAGCTGGAAGCAAGCGTGTCTTTTAGGAATGCAGAGGACTCACTATAAAATGCAAGGGAGTCTGGGAACCCTGAAGTTGCAGGCATCTGAGCAGAATCTGGCTTTGGCTCTCTAAACGCTTTTTATTCTTGTCTGTCTGGCCTGCTAGGGTAAAAAAGGCTATTGTGTGGTGTAGTGGTTAGAGTGTGGCATTGGGACGCAGGTTCTAGTCCTCACTTGCCATGAAGCTCAGTGGGTGCCTTTGCGCCAGCCACTTATTCTCAGCCTGGCCTACCTCACAGGGATGTTGTGAGGATAAAATGGTAAACTGGCCCGGTTTCCTTGCAAGAGGAGAAAGACAGGGATGTTATGCAAAAAAGCAGCGAAAATACTTCTCAAGTTAAATAACCAAGACTACCATCAGAGTGAGGAGATGCCTTCGTTTATTGCAATAGACAGGGAAAGCCCACTCTGTCAAAATCTCTCCAAAGCACAAACACACAAATCATCTCCTTTTGTACCCTAACTCGGCCGCCATAGCCCTCCCCAATTCCCTCATTGGATGAGGTACTAAGGGGGTACAGTCCTTCCATCCTCCTCCTTCATATCTCCCATCTCATCCCACTAGACACATCTACATACATCACATGTGCATTATAATTAGCCCATTGTCTATTCGAGGTGTGTGAGATGATACCAACCTATTATGCCTGTGTGCTCATAACTACCGGTTCACTAGTTCACTCCTTTCTGGCTTCACCTTGCCCTATGACATCCTGTCTCATAAAACTACTGGGAGTATGAGATAGAAGGTAGCGTTCTTTCTTCAACCCAATTATCTTTTCCTCCCTTCCTCATTCCTTCAGACAGGCTTCATGGCTTGGTTGTTTGCCTCACTGTTCTCAATCACGGAGTTACTTCCTTCAGGGAGAACTAGGAATGTGAGAATAAAAACCTCTTGAAAGATCGCTACTGATGCTTGCCGCTCACCCAGATGCCACCACTTCTGTTTTGGAAGTCCTACTCCATAAATTCCAATTCAGTGGAATTATATTTCAAATGTGCATGCTCAGAAATGCTATATGGTGCTGCGGGACTGAACCTCGACCCTGAAAACAGAGCTGGAAAATTGCACCTCGCACTAACATTTCTTTTCGTCTGGGGTTTCTCAGGTGTTGAGGATGGGGGCTGAGCGGTGCCCCCCAGAAGGGATCCATCTGCAGAGCTGTGGAGACCTAAGCTCTACCTCATCCTTGCGACGCCTCTTCTCGGGCCGTCGGCTAGAGCGAAGGCGCCCCCACAGCCTTAGCGGACTCATCAGAGAAAGCAACCTGTAAGGCAAGGGGCCGCAGTCAGGTGTGTCTGCAGCGGGGCTTTCTGCTTCTGAATGTGATGGCTCCTTCGTGGTGTTGGGCTTGGACTGGAACACCCAGGCTGGTTTCCTGGAAGAACTCGGTTGTGTCTTCTCCACTCTCCCACCTCCACTGGGAAGACAGAAGGGAAAGCGGACTGCAAAGACCACCATGATAATGGCAACCCTGCTGAACTGCCCTCTTTGAAGTCACGGATGCGCCTTAGAGGACACTTGTTCCGGTTTATGCTGGTTCCACTCCTAAACCAAAGGACATGGTACAGTGGGGCCCCACTCCCATGGCCTCCAGGGGTTTGTTTCCCGGGTCAGTGCACCCCAGCCATCCTTGGGCCCGACAGTGACAGACACTTTCGCAGGTAGTCAGTCTGCAAAGTAGGAAGACCTAAGTGAAGAACGGCGCCCACCCTGACAGTTGGCACTCCTGCACGCCAGGACTCCCTGCACAGTGACTGCGCCTCACCAAGGCCCAACGCATCTGGGTCCTTTGCACCTGTTTGCCCTGGCAAGACCTCCCGAATAAGCTGGCGTGAGCCCTTGTGTGCCCCATGTGCTTGTCCTCACAGGGAGTTACCCTTACCTCCAGCTGCTGCTTCCTTTCCTCCTCCCCCCAGCATACACAAAGTGTCTCTGTGCCCGGGAACCCAGCTACCCTAGCATTTCTGTAACTTTGCCTACTTCTGATACCTCATTTTAGCTGTGCCTTTGGCTTGGCTGCTTCCGCTGGCCAAGATGCCAGGGACTGGGAGAGGGACGGTTGAATGGCTCAGAGAGAAAATATGCCCGCCTGTAGTAGCTGCACAATGTGTCAAGACTCAGACCTTGGGGCTGAGAGTAACTAGGAGGAGCTCTTATTGGGTCAGTCCTACGGACGGTTCTTCTGTGCCAGCATCCTGTTCCCCACTGCGGCCAAACAGATGCTTCTAGGAAGCCCATAAGCAGGTTATTACAGCAAGAAGCCTGCCCAGCAACTGGTACCCAGACAGACTCCCTGAACTGGCGGCTCCATTTAGTCATTCTGGCTAATGGCTATTTATCGGCCTCTCCTCCTCCATGTATTTGGTTAATCCCCTTTTAAATCCACCCAGAGAGCAAAGCCTGGGAGGGCAAAGGTGGATCTTGCCACAGAGCAGGGGTGGGGTCCTGGCAAGGTAGCCCCCCCCCCTTGCTACATTGGGCTGGGTCTATGCTTTAAGTTTTCCAGAATACTCCGGAATAAAGTGTTGTGGGGCATTGTGGGAAAATTAAAATGTCAGGCAGCTCCCAGATCCAGCATCACCGGTATGCCCTGCTTGGAGTGCTTGGTCCCCAGCAGTGGCCCAACGATGCCAAGTGTTGGTGCAGGACTTGGGACAGGGAATGGCCATCTTGCAGCTCAGGGAAAACAAGTACTAGCTGTGCATGTTGTTGCTGCATCAGGAGACAAAATGAACATCAGATGTTCTTAACCCAACCAGAAGCCCGTCTCTCCTCTCCGCTCAATTCTGTCCTCATTAAGTGGACATCTTCTTTCCTTCAGAGACTCTGAGAAGGAGACGCAAACCCCAAAGCTTCAGGCCAAGCCCCGACACTTGGCCTGCTCTTTCCTAAAAGAAGAAACATGCCCTTTTGCATGCACGTTCCGGGGTGCCGGAAAGTCACCCTTCTAACCAGTTTGGGTTCCATGCTTTCCTCTTCTTTCCTTCTTCTCAGCCTGTCATGTGACCTCACAGCCTCCTGCCCACATTGCCCAGCTCTTTTGGACTACAGGGTGCATGCTATAAGATTGAGGATTCCCATTCTCTTTCTCTCTTTTGTTTTGCAATCTGGGGAGTATGTGGGGGCCTTGGCTGGGAAGGAGGGGTTGCCAACTTCTTTGCTGTGGCAAGGCACCTATGCTTTTTAACCACCATATGTCCAGCAGGCAAAATTGAGCAGATAAAACATGGAATGTTAGAGAAGCTTGACCTGTCCAAATTTATCCCTGCTGCAAGGAGCCAGTAAAGGCTGAGGAGCCCAGCAAGGGGGAAAACATGGCAACCTTTGTTGAGGCACGGGAAAGGCTCGCCACCGACTGTTTGAGATGCACAAATAGTTATCTGAGAAAACCAAATAAAGCCATATCTAGCCATCTCCGTGACTATTTGTTTTGCTTGCTATCTTGATTTTTTAAAAAAACTAACCTTATTAAATGAGGAGTAACACATTTAAGTATACTACATGTGAGTTAATTTATTTTTGATCACTCAGGGTCTCTGTTTAGTCTCCAAGCAAGATTATCTGATCCCATTTCCACTCATCATCCTTCTAACTCATGCCACAGAGTTCTGTGTATCTTAGGAAGTTCTGTGTTTCTTCCCAATTTTAGTGAATTCAATGAATGGATTCCACATTCCATTGGAAATGTCAATTTCTACTTGGTCTCTTTGTAACGGAGGATGTTAAGTGAGTTTTTCAAGTGCTAGGTTCCAAATTTTCTACTTCCATAAAATCATTTGCTGTTCCCCAGTTAGCAGCTACGACCAACTTGTATGTATGCGGTGTGTTTCTGATTTTGAAATTACTGTTGCAAGCTGTTGTTTTGCAATGTGTGTTGCTTACTAATATAGTTTAAAGCATTAATGCATTCCCCTCAAAAGAAGCCTTAATAACCTTTAGGGATTGTCCCCAGTTGCCAAAGCCTATTTGTGAATTCTGAACGTTTGCATAACCTCTCAGTTTATTTTGTGCCGGACTTATTTCGCCAAAGGGCTTGTTCCTTACTTCTAGCTGGGTTATAGTGTCTGCCCTCTTGCTTTAGTGGCAGCCACAGTAGCTTCATCTTTCTCCTCCTCTTCTGCTCTCAATACTCTTACTTCCCTGGGATTTAAATTTGTGTGGCAAGTGCTGTTCTGTGCAGTATGGGAGGGCTGGACTGATAGCCAGTATTGGAAGACTGTTATGTCAGATTGCTCATAATTACAGTCACTGGGCTGACAGATAAGACGATACCTATCTTTCCAGATTTGTATAGTGTTGAGTTGTGCTTTCTGCACCAAAATAAGAACAATTCTTGTTATAATTCTGTCATATTCCCTGAGACAAGCCCAGAGTATTTGTTTTATGGGTTTTACAGGTATGCATAGCACCTCTCAGCGGTTATCGTCTTGCATGCAAGCTGGCTTCTCTTGATGTCGTTGTTAAACACCCTTACAACTCAGTTCAATGAAATCCATCACTAGATTGTTAAGATATTTTTTTCTATCAGGGCTCCAATGTCATCAATAATTGCTTGGTGGGGATAACTGAGCAGGTGAAGAATCTGTCCCTGCTGCATTATGATGTTCTCTCTGTCGTTCCTTCAAGACACAGGGGCCATGCCACATGACAATAGTTGTTTCCTGCATGGGTTATGGAGTCCCAGCAGCTAGGTTTGTGGGGCCGTGATGCTGATGACACCTGATGCTTCCTTGGGAAGGAAAAGGCCACTTGTCCAGGGACTTCTGACTACTTTCTAACTAATTCCTTCAAAGGTTGAACTGATGGAGCAGAATGGTTGTAACATAAAGAACAGACAGTGTAGCAAGAAATACTGCAGACAAGCAGAGCTGTTGGAAATGTATAATAGTAGCCAAGTCCCCAGAATCTATTTTGTTTTATTTTATATGCTGTGATCAGTAGGCATGGTACTTCTTGGTGAGGAACTTGTGACATTCCTGGTATTCTGGCCCACAACTCCCATCATTTCTCACCATTGGCTGTGCCAGCTAGGCCTCCTGGCAATTGTCAGTCAAAACCTCGAAATATTTGCAAGTTGCCTAGCCCTGCATTAAAGAATAAAGTATATTTGTAAAGGATTGTCAGCTTGGCAGCTTCAGCTGGGGTTGTCCCTTTGGCATTTTTGGGGGGCAGGAGGTTTATAGGATGATTTTTACACCTGCTACCAATAGTTTACCTTTGTTGGTCTTTCACAGGCTTCTTTGCTGTTTTTGCTGTGACTGACTATAAATCGTGACTGGCTTTCAGCTGATTTTAGAAAGGGTTTTTTTTCCTTTTATCAATTCTGGAAGTATAAAATGGGTTTGATTTGTCTTAAAATATGGACTAAGCAAATTTTGACAGAAAAAAATGATTTGTTCAAAACATGGTGCTGGAGGAGAGTTTTGCCAATACTGTGGAGCAACAGAAAGATGAACAAGAGGGGGTCCTAGACCAAATCAAGCCATGATTTGCTCAGGACGCAAAAATGATGAAACTGGAGCTGCCATCTCATAAGACGGCAGGACTACTGCAGAAGACCATAATCCCAGAAAAAGTTGAAGATAGAAGAGGAAGACTAAGATGGATACGTGCCATAAAGGAAATCATGGCCTTGAGTTTACAAGGGCCGTAAAGGACAAGCATTTTGGAGGACTTTCATTCAAAGGATCACCCTAAATGTGAGATGACTTGATGGCACATAGCAACAACAAGACAAATTTCAACCTCCAACTCATGTCTGGACCCAGGTTTATTATCTCACATTCTGTTTGCAACAACTACACCTTGTAAAGTATCTCCAAAGATGTGTTTGCATATCATCTAAGCAACAGCATCAAAAGAAGCAGCCTCAAATTACAGCCTCATATTTTATACTGGAAATATGGCAAAATTGCACGACATGTTTCCCTTCTATCAAAACCAGTTCTGGTTTTCAGTATGTACCCATAGTAAATTGTTGTTTCAATTCCCCCTCCCCACCCCACTTCTCTTCCTTGTTCAAAGCATATTTTGAGTCACTAGAATTTGACAGTCAAGGCAGTGTTTCTTCACAGTGCTTTCGCTTGTCATTTAAACTGACCCCAACCTTTTTCAGCCCATGTGTCCATTTTAATTCAGAGAAGTTCCTGGGAGCCACATTGCAGTGAGGCTGCAGGCCAAAATCCACCAAATTCCAGCATGTTTTAGCTTACGTTTCTTCCTTTCGGTGAAGAATCTGTAGGCATTTTGGCCAACTGGAATGGGGAGGAGAGCCATATAGAAAGCAGGGAAGTACCCAAGCAATTTGTGTCCAGGACAAAGGGGATGGATAACTCAAAAAGGCTTGGAGCTCCCCTATTTGCTGCCCTTCCGAGTGTGAACTGTCCTTTTGTGGCCCGAAGAGACAATCCTGTTTGGTTTTCTGTGTGTGTCTACAGTGCTTACTTTTCAAATATTTATGCTGGGAACCAAGTGCCTCAGTGTCTGACCAACTTGCTACCTGGGAAATGGAGACAGAACTGATAAACAAACAACACAGTCCACTGCAAACAGGGCAGAGAAATGTACTTCAATAATCCAGTTACAACAGCTCTTCGGCCAATTAAATGTGGCTTAATTGATCCACCGACTCAGCTATTGCATACAAAGCAGCTTCCATTGGCTGCATGGAGCCACTGTTACGTGGATTTAATGTACAGTTTGGCAAGCCACCAAAGGTGCTCAGTGCGGGGCATGTCTTCTGCCTTGCCATGTAACGATGGGCAAGCTTGTAATACCCCTCTGCTCACCTGAAGGAATCTCTGCCTTTGCTCCAGGGCTTGACTGCACAGTGGTTTAGAGGCACCAGGTCCCCTGTGATAGGAAGCTCAGGGACTCCGGGCCATGTCCTCTCCGGAAAGGGAAAAGCTATCCTGTTGGTTTGACCTTTTGGTTAGGGATATTTTTCTAAAGTACCCTTGACTGGGATGGTATGCCAGGATGTTTAGAAATCAACTCGCAAGTCATGCTATCTGTTAAATTGGGACAGCAGGCAGTGCTTTAGGTCCAGATATAATCAAAGTAAACCCTTTTAAATCTATGGGACTTAACCTAAGAGTCCTGCTGGATTAGGCCAAATGTCCATCCAGTCCAGTATTCTGTTCACACAGAGGCTAACCTACTGCTCATGGAAAAATGACAGGCGAACAGCACTTTCCACCCTTGTTCCCCAGTGACTGGGTCTATGGGCAGCCTGCCTCTGATACCAGAGTTCGCATATGGCCACCAGGACTAGTAGCCATGGGTAGTCTCCTCCTCTGTGAATTTATGCAACCCCCTTTTAAAGTCATGCCAATTGCTAGCCATTGCTAGATCTCCAGGAAATGAATTCCATTGTTGAGTTCTGTGTTATATGAAGAAGTCCTTCCTTTATCTTACCCATCAATCAACTCCATGGGATGACCCTTTGGGTTCCAGGATGATGAGAAAGCATCAAATTCCTCCAAATCATGCACCATTGACTCCTCCAAATCATGTAGCATTTTTTATATCTCTACCACGTCTCCCCTTCAATGGGTCTCCTCTAAGCCTGGCTAAATCTGGACCCAATGTACTGTCTTTTAAGTGCTTGCGTGCAAGCATTTACAGCAGGGGCTTTGAACCCCAGGCCAACAGGCTCCCCTTTGCCCTGGCTCCATCTCTTCCCCACACCAAGCACCAATTGTTTTGTGGCATCCCAGGTTTTGATATTTCCCCCATTCAGAAAGGGTGGAGATGCCCCGTTTGTGCCTGGCAGCAACGACCTCTGAGCTATAGAACGCTGGCATCGGTTGTGGCTCGGGCTCACCTCTTCTGCTTTTGCTGGCACCCACGTCGCCTTTGCCAGAGTGAGGGGCAGGTGAACAAGTGGACCAGGATGGAGAAGAGGAGAAACAAGTTGAGGAAGGGGGCTTTTGCTAGGAGTCCCCGGCCAGCGCCCAGACACACCTACCCTAGATGCCAGGGATGTGTACAGGCCACTGAGCTGTGGCATCTCCTCCTTGTCCCCACTGCCATTGCCTGGCCCAGAGAGAGAGGCAGGTAAGAGTGGCTGGGGGATCTGGGCTCTAGTTCCCCGTTGGCCATGAAGCTCTGCGTGCCTTTTGGCCAGCCACTGCCTCAGACTGAGATACCTCACATGCCTGCTGTTATGAGGATAAAACAAGATGGAGGAGAACCTTGTAAGCTACCTCAGGTGAATTGCAAGAGGAAGAAAGATGGGATGGGAAGCTAATGTTGTTATAATAATAATGTAGCGTTTTAAACCTCTTTCAGGTTTTTGGATCCTCTCAGAGAGCTTTGGTTATCAGGAGACACAGAAATACAAAACGTGACAAGGAAAAGCGGCTGCTGACAAGAGAGGTGAGATGCTTGCCTTACTATTTTGCTTCAGGGCT